ACTCAGGACAAGTGATACTGGTCTGAGTCCGCTCTGAGGACAGACACCTTGTGAACGGGATTTTGCTCCTGCTGAGAAGTCTCTGAAACAGCACATCTCAGCTCAGGGAGACTTCTGCTGAGACATTTTGAATAAACTCTGCACAAACCTTTCTAGTAAAAATAATAATAATAATAATAATAATGAAATGGCAACACACAGAAAGCATACAGACACAGTAGAAACCAAATGTGGAATGATTTAGATGATTCAGGTTTTTTTAGGGTAATAAGCAGCTACTGCAGCTCACCACATGCTCGCACAACCCAAGAGCTTGAAGACAGCGCGGAGGTTTGAATGAATGATTCATTATTCCGTACACGCTCCGGCTCCTCCGCCACTCCAGCCTGTACCCAGCTGGATCTCAGGAGAAATTCCTAGAGTGTGTAATTGTGTATAATGTGATCATCCTGCAGCAGGAAATAGGTTTGTAAGCATTCTTAGCCAGTACAATTGATGTCATACAGATACGGTCTGCAAGGAAACAAAGTGGAGATCTGTACTGCAGAGAGTCATTTGAGAGCTAATACAGCCTTCGGGGAGTAACATTTTAGACAGGGAATGTATTTAAGCCCAGACAGGCAAGGTATACGCTGTATTTCATTTTAAAACCGCTCAGTGTGACCATGTTCGGAGGGAAGGGGAAGGTGCTGACCTGAGAGCCCCCACAGCAGCTCGTCTTTGGTGCAGCCAGCAGGGCCAAATTTGGGGGTGCACCCCAGGGGCTTTGCGTCCCTTTTGAGAGAGGCTCCCGGGGAGTTAAGGCACCGTGGTGGAGGGAGCCCGATGGGGTTACATGCTGTAGCTACAACCTCCTCCTTACGCCTAGCTGTGGCCGGAGGGTCCTGCAGGCACGGCAGGACCCAGCACCCCGGCCAAGCGGGCACCCATCGTTCTTGTGGGTGAGCACATCGAGCCCGCAGCACCCTCTAGAGGACTGCAGCCACCCAGCCCTTGCTTTCGGGGAGGATTTGGAGGCACTGAAAAGCATCTCTCTCCAGCAATGGTTTCTCAGGCAGGTTTAATCCATCGCTGTGCACCAGCTCGCCTTGGGGACGCATCACTGCCAGGAGACATCAGCCCTCCAGCTTGTCCGTCCTGGTGCTGGAGAGGATGGAGATGGGCAGTGCTGAAGGCAAGCTGAAGCAGGGACTCCCCACAAAGCCAGGGAGCATTGCCCCGGGTAAAGTCTCCTGAGCTCCTGCCTTGCAGGGCTCCAGGTCCTCAGCGTGTCCCCACCTGCAACCAACATTGACTTGATGGCAGGTTTAACCCAAATTGGAAGTTGGGTCCTAGCAGGTGTGGAGATAGACAATTCAGTCCCATGGTGCGATCCCCAGAGGGCTGTAGGATGCAGCTCAGTTTAGTCCAGCATCCCCCAGCCACTGGCACAGCATCCCCACGCTCGCCTCCACAGAGCTCTCCCTCAGGCTGGGGCAGGCCCAAGAGGAGTTGGGTTATACGTTACCTAAAAGTGACCTGTCAGTGAAATCACACTTTAGTGGGGCCCCAAGGAAACATAGCTTAAATTCCTACATGTAATTAAATGCACAGGTTACATCCAGACAACGTAATTCTGTTACCAGTATCTGCTATACTCTTTCCAGTCGGTATGTGCTGGCCAACACAGTCCTAACCGATACATGGGCTTCACTTGGGATTTGCTAGGTAAGAAGACATGAGACACCCGAGAACAAACATCCTCTGACCGCTGTACTGTGCTGGTCTGTGGCTTGTGTCTAGAGCTGCCTGCCTTCCTGAAGTTTCCCAGTTCCATGTCTCATACTGGCCAAAATGGAGCTTCTCTGTATAACCAAGCCATTAACTCTGCCTAAAATTAATCCTGTATACCGTATCTAGGTCATATTTCTGAAGTTAGCGTTTTCTATTTTACTTCATAAACCATGTATCTATTTCAAGAGGAAACATGTCTGAAACTTGAAATCCTAAAATGTAAAAAAACCACCCAAAATCTTAAGTCTCAAACCAATCTTTTCAAGTTGAAATTAAAAAATGACGGGCAAACAGGCTGAGTCCTCTCCTGAAGGATACATTTTCTGTTTGTTTCTTGAACATACAACATGCGCATTCCAGCCTGCAAATCTCCTGAGGCTTTGTTGGGGTCCTTTAATGGGCTTGGTTGGTAAAAAATGAAATAAGGAAGGCAACCTAGAGAAAAGAATATCAATTCTTTTCTGCCTGCTTCGTGAGATAAACCAGAGGCATCAGATAAATGCTCGAGGCAGCACACCAGGAGCAGGACACAACTCCGAAGTGTGGGCAGGAGGGAGCCAGGAAGGTTGGGGTGTCTCTGGGTGACAGACCAGCCTGCCTGTCCCCTCTCTCCCAACGCAGGAAAGACCTGGAGCAAGAAAGCAGCCATCCCCCTGGAGAAACCAGAGCATCCATGTGACACGCCTACTTTTAAGCTGTACCTTTTGCAAGGGAGTGTGGCAAGGCTAAGAGAAGCTGAAGACCAAGGTGGTGGGATGGCATCTGCCTGGACAGCGTGGTACACCCAAGGGCACCAAAAACCCAGTGCAACCACCACACAGCCTAGCCCTGGTGGTTTCTCCAGTGGAAGAGAAAAGTCTAGCTAAGTCTAGCTCTTACCTGAACTTCTCTCGTGCCCACAGGACCTGCAGCTTCCCTCCGTGATAGGTGGCTGCCAGCACATCTGCCCCAGCAGGACTCCAGCACTCCTCTGCCTCATTAAAGGCACAACCCTCGGCCCAGGGTGGGTTTCCCAGTACGGACTGGCCGTCAGCAGCACCCCTCAGAGCTCCTGAGCAGCATGCAGACTGGGCACCAGTAATCTCCAGATAATAGAAACCTGTGAAGCCATGATAACACTGTCTCCCTGGCCTCCTCTCCTTTGTCCTCAAATGGGAACTCACAGGATGTTTAATTATCAAGATCAGGCTGGATATGGAGAGATTACTCACCATTGATTCTGGGTATAAACAGCTTCCTTTGCAGAATAATTTATTTTTTAAGAACTTCCCCCCCACCCCCACCCCGGCCCTACTCCAAATTAATTTCCATCCCAGCCACGAGCCTTGGTAGAAAATCTTGCTGTAATCATTTTGAGCTAAATATTCTGAGTAATCAATCAAAGCAGTGGAACCAATTTTGAAACTGTCACTTTTAATTTTTCCAATAAAAAAATTGAGCATTTCACTCACAGTGCTGTTGTGATTCAAGCTCTTAAAACCTTCGCTACACCGCATCGGCGCTGCGGAGATGTACTTGAAAAATCTGAAGAGCCCGCACAATTGCAGAGAAACTAAAACAGATTGATTTTTGAGCAGTGAGAAGAAACCTGTTTCTTCATATGCCTTTAGACCCATCTCACAAAACCGCTTTTTCTTTCTTCCATACTTTCCTCCTCTACACAAATAGCTAAAGAGCATTAGCAATTTCATACACGCAAAAGGCTGGCACTAATTAAAAAGCTGACACATTATTGAGAGCTTAATGCATAAATGCATGGCTAACGAAGGCCCAAAGAGCAGATCTGCGTGGTGCTGGGGTGGAGGAGAGGATGTCTCAGCCTCTTGGCGTGGGATGCCTGCGGACACAACAATGGAGAAGCTGACCTGCCAGAGGAGACAGGAACGGCCTCTGTATGAAAGCGGCTGGAGAAATCCATCCCGGAAAGTACAGGTCTATTAAATTTACTAGATTGTGCTTTGTGTTCAGGCTATGTGTGGGCTGCGTTTCTGCTCAGCAAGGAGCCATCAAATTAGAGGCTTTGCAAGTCACTCATCAAGCAAATGCTTTGGCTGTAGGAAAGTGAAAGGGAGTTTTGCCATCGCCCGCGCCGGAGGCAGCGTGTTCCTGTCTCCCTGCAGAGCCTGTGCCAGCTATAGCCCATAAGCTGGCCTTCAGTCGTGTTTTTAAGAGGCTGACGGATGCAGATGAATTGTGGCCAGTCCTGACATGTAGGATCGGGAAAAAAGCAAAAGCACCAACAGTGCCCTCAAGTTGGGCCCCTCCATCACGTAGGAAAGGATCCTTCCTACAAACTGATACCTAAACTCTCCAGATTCAGGACCAGATTCTGGTGTCACGTTGATTTTCCACCAAGATAAGCTTGTCAGCACAGAAACCAACCGATGTGGGAGCTGGGGAAGGCTGCCAGCCTGGGCTGCAGTGCCCTGCCTCACCCTCCTGCCCGCGCCCAGCCGGACTGGCAGCTCTCCGCGTCGCGCCCGCTCGCCGCTATCGCCGCTTGCAAGCCCTCGTCACCCTGCTGCGGCAAGCGTGTAACTAGCTGTGAGATGTCGGAGTGGCAGCAGAAGCTGATGGTGTCCATCAGCAGCCGCCTGTCTGCCTTCTACCAACCGCCCTGAAGCTCTGGCTCGGTTATCTCGGTTTATTGTGTTTATCAAGGGCACAGATTGGATTTGAAAGTTTTGAAGATGCGGAGGGCCTGTGGCATTTGAGGAAGGAGATGAAACCTAAGAAACAGAGAAGTTAATACGGTTTCAGTTTGCAACAGAGCTTGGAAATGCCACCGATGCTTTATTAATCTTTTCTCCCCCTGGAGGACAACAGTAATCTGCTTTTTCCTCTCTCTATGCTCAATTTCCTTTACTGAAAGTTAAAAGGGACAGTGGCAAGTTAGTTTAATTTTGGAGACAGACTGTTTTTTTGTCTGCGCTTTTCATAATGCCTTTGGATTATTAAAATTCCTTTGAAACGGGATTTTTTAATTTATTTATTTTGAAGCAGTCCAGTTTTCCCTTTCTATGCTGTTTCACTCCAACAATTTCTCTCTCCCAGGAAAACAGAAATGATTCCGGTCTAGCCATTTTTATTGCAACCCTGGGTCTTTTTCCATCAGGTCTCAGCTGCTGGGGCAGCACTGCCAATGCAGGGCAAGGGCAGAACTCAGCCCACAAGCAGGATGCGGCCACAGTCCCCAAAACAAGCAGAAACAAGACCAAAGCCAAACGTTTCAACATGATGATCAGTTGTATTTTCAGTCCATTAATACACATTCATTTAGCAGATACAAACAGTGGAAAGGAAAGCGATCGTTAGCAGAAACAAGGATACAAAACTCAATTCCAGCAGCCTTCACAGAAGGGATATTCAGTGTTCACAACTGCACCGTCAGAAGGTAGAGACGCACGGAGGCCTGCACTCACACCTGAAGTGGAAGCTCTCCTTCTGTTGATCAGTTTAGCTATTTTGACACGATTTAAAAAAAAAACAAAAAACAAAAAAACAAAAAACAAAACCAACCCAGCATTCCCAGAACTGTGACTTTCAACACGTCTTCTCATTTCCCAGGTGTCAGGAAAGAGGCAAGTTGGAATTATTTACACGGAGATTTTATGAAAACACACTGAAAGGTTAAAAATAGAAAAATCACAAATACTGGAAACTACAACAAGAGAGCAGGCAGGGAAATGAAAAAAAAAAAAAACAAACAAACCCAAAACCCACCAAAACCCCAAGAGGATCATTGCATTCAGTGGTCGATGTACAGTCTGTGGGTCTGTTCTGCTTTGATCTACCTTAATTTTGCACGCTTAACATGATTCACTGCCATGGCCTTACGCTCCTTGTTTAAACCTCGGTTCTGCAAAGCTCCCGGTTTCAGCAGGATCTCAGCTGCGCAGAAGGGATTGCTTGTTTGAAACAATTTGCAGAACAAGTGCCACAAAATGTGAGAGTGTATTGACAGCTTGTGGGCCACCCAAGAGATGCCAACCTCTACCCATATACCTGGTCTGGGGACCACTCGCTCTCTTCACCTTGGCCACCACTGCATCCTACAGCCTGAGTCCTTTCTGCCAGAAAAAACAGTGCAGCAGCTCTGCAGCTGATGGAGGCGTGTCAGTTAACATCAGTGTGGATTTGGGTATTTACATTCGGCAGGAGAAGGAAATGGCATTAACTTAAAGGACCATTCAGACTTATTTCAGTGTTCCCACAAATGCAGCTTTGTCCACAGATTAAAACCCACCCGACTGTCCTAATTACAAGTGCACAAAAGACTTGTTACACTGAAATAACAATACCAAACCACATCTGAGCTTGATTGTACATGGATGTTTCCTTGGACGGAGTAAAGGTATGGTAAATTATTAATGTCAGGGTCCCAGTTAGGCAAAACCAGCACTGAGGTCTCCCCCAGGGACAGCACCAGGATTGCAAAATCATGTTGTGAAACCTGATCAAAAAGGAAAAGAGAATGTTTGGGGTTTAATCCAGCAAAAGTCACATCAAGTCAGGCAACAAACTGAGACCAAGAGACCAGAAACTGAGCCAAGCACTTTGCATCTGCCATTGAGCACTGGAGTAGTTCTCCTACAGAGTATTTTTTAGTAAAGTTCTTACATATAATAACATTTTAGCTCTCATTTTTTTAAAACCATGCGTTAACCTTACAGTGAAACACTTATCCAGTTCAACATCTATACAACAAAATACATAATTTAAAATATCAAACTATTAAAAAGATATGGTAAGGAGTGTGAGTTCTCAAAGTGGCACGTGTTAAGGAATAAATTAAAGGAAAAAAAAAGTGTTCTACTCAGGTCGAACTACAAAATAGAAGTCTGAGCCTGGGAGAAGTTCTCATTTCCTATAGTACTAGCAAATAAATGCCACAAGAAACAGTTTGTGTTTCCAGGTTTGCTAGTGCTTGAGTCCACATCACTTGTTACAGTATGGTGTATTTATGAGCAATCCTCTCCAGTTTGAAGGTATTAAAATAAACCCACGCTGGTATTACGGACTAAGAAGTAGTGATTGTTTAGGTGCAGAAATTAATTCTCTCAAGGTGTTCAACCTCACAGGCTTCTTAATATAAGAAATAAACCTCCCGTTGACAGGACCCAAGGAGCCAGCTCTGAACAGCACATCCCGCAGGTGTGACCAACCATCCTGCCTTCACTGGGAATGGCTCCAGCCCCATCAGCTGCTCGGGGCGAGCAGGGCCACAGCCATGGGGGGATTTGGTAGCCCCACGAGCCCCTGGGGATGCAGGGCTCTCTGCACTGTGCTGAGGCTGCCCTGCACACCCTGCTTGCATTTAAACGTGACTAAACTCCTGGTATCAGGAATCTAGCACCAACACAGAGAAGGGATGTTCAGCGTGGCTTGTCTGTTCCCACCAAGAGAAACCTCCTGGACAGAGAGCCAATGTGAGGCCTGTCTGCTACTTTAATAATGAAAGAGCTTCTTAATTAGCACCTTCTTATACAGAATCAGTCAATGAAATCTCTCCTCTGTGGCTCTGCTGTGTCGCTTGGGACCAACAGCCGTCACACAGTGAGCGGAGTGTTGCAGAACCTGGGTGGTTTTTTCCCAAAGCAGCTTGGCAGACGGGGACTTAATAACACTGGGGTTATGAAGCCCCAAGAGTTAGCTCCCTACCACCTTAAAGACAATATAAGCACAATCTAACGATTACAAGAATCTTTGCTCATATGAGGACGGGGACAATAAGAGCACTTAGAAGATGACAGGAGTCTTGCACTTCTTTAAGGTTCACGTGTATGGGTGGTGGGGTTGAATGCTTCAACTATGAATACAGATCTGTGTGACTTATAATGATTCTCTGACAGGCTGTAATTGTTTAAAGTTAGCAGCTTTGTTCAAACTAAACCAGCTAAAAACGTTATCAGGAGAGAAAAGCTCTGAACCCACATGGAAGTGAAATAACAAGACACCTTTGATCTTTCTTGATTGCAAACGGTCAGGACACGTATTTCTCTGGTGCTGCAGGGGGTGACCCTAGGTCAATTTTTTTAATGGAAAAAAAAAAAAATCAAGGGAACATACTTATCTGCTTACAACATGCCAACTAAAAGCATCAACCCCCTGGACTGAAGATCATCACATAAAATGCTGCACATGCAATTCCAACAGGCTAACCAGACCACAGATGCACCGAGCGGAAAGGAGTGTAATTGGCAGTTGCATCTACAAAACACAAGCGTAACACAGTGGAAACTGTAGGAAGGGGCTGAGACTTGGGCTGCCCTGGAGGAACGTCTGGGGTTGCTGCTTACTCGGGTGATGCAGCAGGTGCCTGCTGGTGCCTGTTTACAGGTCTGAAGACACAGAAGACAATCAGCTAAAATGTGGTGCCAGCTATATTTTGGGGATAGCTAGGCGACCCGTGTGATTCTTTTCCAGTTAAAAGCAGGTGAGACTGTTGGAAGAGCCAGAAAAAGAAAAAATAAACTTGCTTGTGAACTTCAGTACCAGTTCACCTGGTCTTTTGAGTTGGGTGCTGGGTTAAACCCAGCTAGCGAAGGAATCCTTCTGGATACAGAGGTAGCAGAAGAGCTCAGCTTCTCGCTTCTCCAGATCCAACTCTCTTCGGGCATTTCCAACAGACTGACCTCTTAGTGTTTGACACGGCACCGTGGGGGAACACCTCTCCCAGGACTGCAGCTGGAGTTGGACATGAAATCGGGAGACACAGCTCACTGCTGGACGGAGGATGGAGTGAAGACCCAGGACTGCACCCAGCACACGAGGTCCGGACCCAGGAGCAGTACTGTTTTGCCCAGGGATGCTGAACTGAACTGCTGCTTCGCTGCACAGTGAGATGCTTTGGAAACTGTCTTACAGAAAAGGAAAGCAGGACTGGGCATCCTGAGTTTTACCTGTGTTTGGGAAGACAAGTCCTGCATGACTGAGCTCAAGATTGTGGCTGGTCTAATAGCCAAATAGACCAGAGACAAGGCTTTGCTAATCCCCCTTCCCCCTCGCATTCATCCCATCTGCAAAGCGACACGTCAGCTCAGTTTGAGCATGGTGTCAGCTCTAGTTTAATGGTCTTTCCCTTCTTTTAAATAAAGAGCTAAGAGATGGAAAGGAAGGTCTACCTATGTACTGCAATAGAAATGTATGAACTGAGGACCAAGAGCACAGGGTTTACTTCGGCCCATGCTGGCTTTTGAGTTTGTCCCATCACGCGCAGTGCCTTGCTTTCCTTGAGCTCTGCAGATCTACGGCTTGTGTTTAAACTTTGATCCTCTCCTGGAGAAAGTCTTCATGTGCAATTTGAACAAACTGACATACTGCGTTTCTGTAAAGCCCAGCAAACTCCAGTGATTTCCAGCACCTCCAGTTCCCTTGGGGCTTCCCTTTGCCAAGACCTAGGCTGCACAAGGACTGCTGATTGCTCTAGCTGTGGTAAAAACAGTTGGGCTTTTTTTCCCCCCAGACAGGAGAAGAGACCAAAATACTGATTCTGACATGAGATTGTTAGTCCGTTTCCATTTAAAAAATGAAACACCTACGCTTGGCAAACTGTAGGACAGCCCAGAGGCAGCACCAAGCAGCGTCCTGACAGCGACTCCCCATGACGTGCTCTGACAGCGTACAGAGGGGTGAGATGGGGGACTCCAGCCAGCCAAGGTGCAGATACCCGAAAGCCTTAGAAGCACACGCAGCCCACGACTCCTGCACAGCCACAGCAGGATCACAGTACGTACGCAACCACAATATACAGCCGGCAGTAGTAACAACATCGATTGGGATTGGTTTCCTGTCCTAGGAAGTGGCCTGCATCCCTTAAGTGCTCAGAACATGTCTTAAGAAGTAACTCCTTCAGAGGTTAAACTTCTCATTTGCCATTATTTCCAAGTCTTTCTGATCCTCTCCTTTGCTAGTGTCAAATTGCTTCAAGTTCCTCCACCAAAATCCTTAAGAAAGGCACATCAGGTTGGTGGAGATCTTTTTCGCCCCTCTTAGCAATAAAAAGCTTTCCAAAATCTCATATTGTTCATCAACTTCTCTCTAGAGAGCCAGATTTTAAAACGTAAAGCAGTCTGCATCTTCTTAAGTCCAAACCTCCATGGGTACCATGGACTCCTTTGTTCCGACGGATGGAAGCAAGTACTCTTCCTCCAGAAAACGAAAGGGGAATTGTACTAAAAACCCACGAATCTTTTTTAATTCCTCTGCTGCTTTCACAGGATCATCACTCGCTAATTTGGGCTTATTGATGAAATCACGCAGCTGGGTTAAATTATTCACCTGGTCACTTGGAAGGCATCGAAAAACCTGATCAAAACAGAAAGAAGAAGTGACAGTTCAGTGCGGGGGAAATACTGCAATGCAGAGTTCCCAAGAAAGACCAAAACATCTGATACTAATTCCCTGGGATGGGAGTTAATTAACAGCCCTGGAGAACCAGGAGGGAAAAGTACATGCGTATCTGTGATATGGAGGAGGCAGAGGGGAAGCTCCAGGGCTTTTTCTGATCACTGCAAAAGCTCATTAAAACCCAGAAGTAAAATTTGTTTCTACTCCAGTTATGCTATGGCCAACTATAAGTAGTATGTACATCGTGGCCATTCACTGGAGCTACAGATGATACAAATAAAAGGAGAAATCAGACCTGCTACCTTCTTGAGCTGCCGACACACTTTGAGGATGCAAAAACTCCAGTTTCTTGTTCACAGCTCTTGCATCTGACACTACTTGTTCCTTCAAAGCCTCTCTGAAGGTCCAACCCCAGGAGCAGGACCTGCTGCCCTCGCCCTCCCCGTGCTGCTTCTGCCATTGGCATCTGCTGCTGCCGCGCAGAACATGGGATGGGGAAGGCGCTGCGTTCCTCACCTTGTCGAAGATGGTGGCATTGCGAGCTGCCGTGGAAATCCAGACCTCCTTGAAGAATTTGTCGCAGACGGGATCCTGGTGTTCTGGACTGAGATCAGAGCCGCCAAGGACAACCCTGAGAAGACAAAGGGATTGATGCTCATGGAGGCTGAAGCACTGGGAGCTCCCTTTCTTGAGAAATGCCAAGGGAAGAAAAGGTTTCCTTGGGACTTGCTAAACCCTGTGTGCTCCCAGCGCCCTCCTGCTCCTGTCCCCTGCAATAGCCTGCCAGCCATAACACTGCTCAATTTTCTCCTTTTTTTTTTTTTTTCTGTGCAATAACTGTCCAGATGGGAAACGGTGGGGGGAAAAAAAGGCCTTAAATTAAAAATGGCTGTGTTGTGGACCAGATGGCTGCTCTGAGTGAAGAAACTTCCATTAACAAGAGACACCACCACCCAAAATTGAGAGAGTGTGAAAACAGGATCTGGAGGCAAAATATCACTGTCTTGTTTATGAGCTCTGGTAGTGAAACCCTGAAGCAAAACAATTTGTAAGTCAAGCTGCCAAGCTGAGGACAGAGGCAACGTGAGAAAGGGTAATGCCAGTGAAACAGCAGCAAAACTCCGCGCTAATTCCAGGCCAGGCAATGCTAAACCTGAGCAGGCAGCAGCAGCCCCGCTGGTCTGAAAGGCTGCGGGCAGGCGTAAGCCTGAGCAGGCCCTGCCCGCGCTCGCCAGCCCCGTGGTCCCACCTGAAGCACCGCAGCCGGAGGGACTGGGCAAACTTCCCGGCGCTGTAGTCCTCCCCGTCCATCACGGAGGGGATGGTCTCGGTGTCCTGCACGATGATGGCCATCTCGCTGTCCCGCTTCCCCAGCATGCTGCGGTCGTTGATGTTGGCAGAGCCTGGCGAGGAGGAGAAGGAAGCACCGGTAACGCATCGCCTGCCGCGTGAGACACTCCTGCACGCGCTCCATCACCACCCACTCCCGCCCCCCCGCAACCCTCATCTCCATGGGGACCATCCACGGCTTCGCTAGGTAAAACCCTGACCAGAGGGTTTCCTTATGGAAACACAGACCCTGAGAGCCAGGATTTGGGAGAGGGAGAAAAAAAAAAAAACCCAAACAACCCTACTTTTGGCAGGCTTCAAAAGCTCCAGGCTTGGAAGAAGGTTAAATCATAGCCAAGCCCAGGCCAACGTTTTGAGTTTACTCTCTCCATAACTTCCCAGATGTTTTTTACTGAAGAATGCTACAGCTTCCAAAGGTCTTAACTGCATTTGGTTTGGATACCAAGTTACCTGACGCAGGATGGGCTCTACGGGTAAACCCTGCTTTTATCTTTAGTAGTATAAAGAGGGGAAGCTTTTCATTTGCATTTGAAAGGTGGGGGGTTTTGGGAAGGGGATCTAGGAAGAACCGACACCCAGACCCTCCTGTCCTGCCAGGACCACACTTTTGCGTCCACAGACACAAGAGCTGAGGCACTGTCCCTGCTAACGCAGCAAGGCAGCAACAGACCCAGCGCTCCGGGGAACCTCCTGACCACGGGAGACGCTGCTTCTCTACTCCTTGCCCTGTGCTTGCTGCAGCACTACTGCAGGCTGCATAAAACCCAGACCCCAGAAAGAAGAGGGTTGCTTTCCAGAGGGGTACAGGGGGGACACCTTCCTGGGCAGTGGGACCCACAGGTGTCCTGTGCACAGCTCCCCGTTCACACCCAGTAAAGCTGCTGGGGAGCAGCAGACGTCTCCCCCTGTTGTGTTTCTACTGCATGGCTCTGGCTGTGCCTTTCAGGGGGACAGGGTCCCTCTCCAAAATGCACCACCCTGCTCATGTAAGGGTTTGGGCTCATGTGGTGGCTCCAGCCCTGACACTGCATGGTGGTGGGAGCTCCCCAGCCCTGATGTGCCATGCAGGGGCTCAGACCAGCTGAGGAATTATTCCCCAAACAGGTTCCTCTGTCCCACACAGCTATCAGAAGGCAAGGGATGGGGGACACCATGGCACTTTTTGGTTCCAAGGGAACAGCAAGACACAGCCAGCAATAGGAGTCATCGGGTCATTGATGACTCAGAAGTGACTAAACAACAACAAAAATCTCCAGACACAGCTCCCAGCTCCAAAAGAGACCCCAGGCTCTGGGTAACCATTCAGCCTTCCCTGTGGCTGAATTAACTCCAGGGGAGCTAACACCTCCAGAGGAAAAAAGAGCCAACCCCCTCTCCATCTTATCACCTCCCTTTCCCTCACAGTGACTTCACTGGCATTTTGTTTCCATGCACCGTCTCTTTCCTGGGTGAAAGAGGGATGACACTGGCTCCCCATCACCTTGCCAGCCAGCATGGATGCACATGCTGTATAAAAATCCGTCCTCAGGCTCACAGGTACAGAAAACAGAAATTAAGAGCTGTCTTAGGCCCCCAGACCACCACAGTTGCAACAATTACAGCTCCTGCTATAATATTCAAACCACCTCTGGGCTCCTCTGCATACTGGAGACAGGATCTGACCCCTGAGAAGGTAACAGAGAGGCAAACCTAACCACAGGTCGTTCCAGACTACGGGCTGAAGTGCTGCTTTGAAGGAGGGGAGTATTTGGAGTCTTGCAAAATCCGGTATTAAGTTATTCTTTGGCAAAACTTTCCTTGCTAATATAACAGATCAAAAAGGGTTTCTTTAAAGAAACAGGCTGAAATTCTGCTTTTCTGCTGCGATATAGAACTCTGAGCCTCAATTCTCTTGTCTTTGCTTTGTGATCTCATAATAAATATGGTAAGAGAAACAGAAGAAATTCTATCTATTACTTGTTATAACATATTTCCCCTTTCTTAGGAAATGGGGCTGATAAATGACACATGTTGTCCAAACCTTCCAAATTTTACAGCACATTCTGTTCTTTAAGGAACAGATGACAAGTCTCACAAGTCTTCCTGCTAGAGCAGAGTTTGATACAAGACAGATGGACAATATTCCCTGCACTGGGATTCTTTTCACTGTTACACAGAGATTTAAAACCATTTTAGGAAAACAAATTAAATGACAGCCCTTCAAATCCTTTCCTCCCTCCTACCTACCCTCTTGATGAATTTATGAGTTTGGTTTTTTGTGGTGTTGTTTTTTTGTTTTGTTTTTTGGGGTTTTTGTTTAACAGCAAAATATTTCACAAGACAGAAATCACAACATAGAAAAGCACACAGCACCACAGCCTGCACTGAGTACAGGGCAGAGAAGCAAAGGGATTAATCCAGATAGAATCGAGTGGTCCAAACCCCTCCCGCAAGCCCCCTGCTCACCAATTATAACTGTGTTGTCATCAGCAATCAGCAGCTTGCTGTGAACGTAGATGAGCTCTGTGACTAGTTTTCCTTCCAACTCTGCATATGTTCGAAGTCCACAGAATGATATGTAGTTTATCCACTTATCTCCAACTGAAAATTATAAGAGATCAAAACTGATGGGATGAGGGAGGTGGAAAGAAGAAGAAAGAGCAAAGACCCTCTTTATATAAAGACCCATATGAATAACAGTTCACTTTGGACTTTTTAAACAAGTAATAAACAAACAGATAATGGAAATAAGTTTCTTTAAAAATAGACTTTAAAAGCTGCCTGTGGACTCTTTGTGCTGCTCTGATCCACTGCCTTGCATGGATACCTCCACTTTGGTGAGAAATGATCCCAGTCTCCCTTGTGCAGCATGCAAGTGCTCATAATTGAGCTGAACATCTTAAAATAACTGGACTATGCGACCGCTCTTCTGCAGATCCTGCAGAGAGGAGGCTGGAAGCAGGTGTTTTGTCCATACACAGTATGGAAAATATGTCCTAATGTGCCTGTCTGCAGTTCAGATTTAAACAAAGACCTAGAATGAATGAGGCATTATGTACGCCCCCAGTATTTGTGAAACGTGGGTTTTCATAGTGCTCCGATTCCCAACGGAGCAAATTCAAGCAGGCATCCTCACGGCAAGGAAGCAGCTCAGAAACAGTGTCCTGCTTAGGCAGGTTTTTCCTCTCTGCATTCGACCGCTGCCAGAAACAAACCCAGGGTGGGATTCACAGGGGAGGCTGAGGGCTCATCGCTCCCAGAAGCGTGACCCTGCTCGGGACATTTTCCAAATAACACAATCCCGAGCAGCTGCAACCACGCCGTGCTCCTCCCTGGGGTCCTCCCCTCCTCTGGATCAGGGCTGCGTCCAAGCGTGAAGTCTGACAACCGGCCACGGCTCGCGTGACCCGACAGACCTTGCCACGGGATGACAGCAGAGGAGGAGGTCGCTCACCCACCCACAGCACACGCTACCGGGAGATGCCCCAGCCCATGCCTGAACCCCTCAGCCACAGCAAGCCCACGTTAATGACAAGCTGGAGAATCTGGTTTATGTATTATAGATGTATCCATCGAACAGCAGCACCCCGAGAGCAAGCAACACAGGGGAAGTGGAATAAAGCTCTTACCCTCTGTCTTCAGCTGGCCCAGGATTGAGTTTTCTCCACGGCACATGGTCCTGGAAAGAAGGTAGGCAGCCGTCAGCACCACCGCCACTCGAGGCAACGGCATATGCTGAAGCAAAACCGGGCGAGGTAAATTGCAAACACAGATGCCTTTTAAATACCCCATGCAAGCAGAAGAAAACACGGCGCTTCCAGAGCACATATTTTTCCCAAACGACTGTCGATATAGCAAGGACTGCTCATTTCCTAAAGGAGCTCGTACCATCCACCTAGGAGCGGAGGGAGCGTTTTTGCCTTCTAGAGACCACCACAATGATGATAGCCATGTTAAAAACAGGGCTGCTACCGTCTGTGCCACAGGTCTCGATGTGAAATCACGTCAAGAAAAAAAAGTCAACACGTGCAGAACACCAGGTCAGGAGTTTGTGTGATTATGGCTGGACTGGAAAAGCCACAGCCAGTGTCTCATTCAAAAAAACCCCAACCCACGGGCAATTACTCAAGACCTATGGCTGCCCCTGCAGAAGAAAGCTCAGGCAGAAGGGCCTGGTTAGGGACACATGCTACTTGCCTTCTGCTCGTGTCTCCTGCCCTGCTTGTCCTTCTGGAAGTGCAGTAGGACACCCCTACCAGCAGACAAGGGAGATCTCACTCTGGAGGTAGCAGTAGTCCCTGCAGACTGACTGCACCTTGGCCATACTGTAAGACAGCAGCTTTCCACTAAAACCATCTTGCCTTGGGCCTTTTTGCCTCCCTCCACATCCCGTTCAAAGCTCAGGGCTCTCAGCACCCCCAAAAACATCCATCCCAGAGCAGGGGAATCACACTGGGAAGGATGTCATTGCCTTCACGGGGCCGAGCCAGGTGAAGTACTGGCCAAAAAGGCAGATTTGGAGGCAAATCCCAGCTAACAAACCCGCAGGGCTGCACGCTGCCTCCCGGGCGCAGCAGTGATGGGGATGCTGCCAGGAGGAACCGCAGTAAAAAACCACAGTAAGTGCCTAAATGGGACCGTGACTGTCCAGCGGGAGGGTAAGTCCTGATTTGACGAGCTAGAAGGAAAGAGAATGCACCTGGCAGCGTTATACCGCATGCAGGGAGTGGCTCACGAGCCAGGAATCGGGGGGTCTGTCTAAGGGATGGGGGGACCCACCGTGGCAGGGAGCTCACCGCAGGGGCTCACCTGCCGCACTCCCCGCTTGGCAAGCATCGCCTCACCTGCTGCACATGCAGAGCCTCAAGTACTAATTGAAAGCTCCCCAAACAGTTTTCTTCTCCTTTTCCAAAGGAGATGATGGCAGCCGGAGCCTTGGGCGGCACCGGCACCAGGTGGAGGTGAGCGGGGAGGTCTCCGAGAGCCCTGCCTGCGGTACCTGTAGTTGAAGTGCATTATGGCCTGCAGCGCGTTCCCCCCGCCGGTCGAAATGTCTCCTTCAAATCCAGGCAGCAGTGGGATCACCACGTATACTCGGAAGCGCTTGTTTTCCCTGAAATGATAGTTTGGGGGAATATTAGCCTGCAAATGTTACAGCTTCACACAAGGTGAAGTCCCCACAGTTTCACTTCCCCTGTCCTGACCAACTTGGTTTCCATCCAAGGCTACTACACAAATTTGAAGGGAGAAAAGTGTGGAGTGCATTCCCAGTTCCAGGTCTTCACCACCTGTCATCAGTACTTCAGTGAGCACTCAGACCTCCAGGAGAAGGAATAATTTACTCTCAGCCGACGACAAAAGAAGCTAAAGGAAAAGAAACACATTTTCACTGAAGTTCAGGGGCAAGCTGATTGTTTTACAGATTGCGTCTGCCACTATAGAAGTTTGTTTGAGCACCCAATAGCCCAGTCACACTGATACTGGTGCAGACTGGTGTGTATGACTGCCTGGCAGAGCACAGCAAAGACTACAGAGCTATCACAGGCAGAAACCCAAACTCTAACCTGATGTTCCCACTACATACTTGTTTTTAGGAGTCAAAAACACGAAAAAAGGTGGAAAAAGCTCACGGCACAAGTCAAACATTGATCATTCAAGGAAGGCAAGTATTTCACTGATACATCACAACCCACAAAAACTCAGTTCCAGAGTTCCCCCAAACTAAACTGCACCCTAACCGTGATCTGATTCAGGACAAAAGCTACTATTGCGACATTGCCTGGGGCTTTTCTTAAAGCCCACCTTTGGGTTTTCTTTGCTGACACAAGTCAGATGCATCTGCTCTGCCAGTGCCTTCCAGGCACCCCTGGGTGTTGGCAATCCCCTGCCCTGCACCCCGGAGGAAGACGAGGATGCTCCATTCAAGGGTGCTGCCACTAGATGGCAAACGCAGTTTAATCAGGACAAAACCATTTCAGGAGCAGTCTGAAAATGAGTCAGTCTGCAGTTTTTGTAAAAGTATTCCTTCCTCGGGCAAGTCGTGCCTGTGAATTTAAGGGCAGAGGAATCATGAAACACTGGGGTCTCGTCCAAGCCGGAAGGGAGACAGTGAGGATCTGCATTTCTGTTATCAACCAGTGCTTCCTTATACCTGTGCTATGCACTGCAAACCAGCTTTAGTTTGTCAGCAGACTTCAGAAACAGTTGATGAGGTCTTACCCATACACCACAAGAGACTTTGAAACAAGCCTGTTTGTATCATGAAAAGGATCTACTAACAAAAGCAGCTTGTTTGTCTAAGCCCAGTGCTTATTAAACTCGTTAGAGAGCCACCCATGAAAAAAGAGAGGAAACCAAGAACAGAACATTATTAATTCCAACAGTAGAAAATATTTAGTCTAGAAGAGTGAGAAGAGTACAAGCTTAACTAAAGACCTTAATTTACAATTAAACATCTGTGTCACCTACACTCTTTTCCTGGGGCAGTTTGGAACATAAGCATTATGATACCAACCATTTAGGTCTGAATTTACTTTTAATCTTAGCAATGCCAAGCACTCTGGAGTGTGGAGACTTTACATCTAATTCTCAGTTAGGAATCACTGACATTAAGCTGGCACAATACTGGCATAAAACCGGAGTAACACAAAAGCGAGCATCACATCTGAAAATGGGTCACTGAAGAATTTGTGCGACTCGCCCTTTGCGCTAGACTTTTTGATATCAGGACGTAATGACACCTGTTACATAAACTTTATATAACAGAAAAATCTTAGCGGATTAGCTGGAGAATTTGTTGCTACCTCAGTAGCATTGCTAAAAGCAGGCAAGTGATGCAAAGGGCCTGTGGCAATCAGTTCCCAAAGGCAGGAAAGGCAACCCGGAGCGGCTTCCCAAGGGGACACCTGTGAGCCCTGATGTTGTAATGCAAACACCAGCAACACCGGTTCCAACAGCATTGGCACCACTTTTCATTCACCCCGGATGAGAAAATCCACCCCATCTTTTCATCCTTAGCTCACTACAATTATTTGGGCTATGCATTGCAGCTCACAGATGACCAGCAACTCCACCCTGTTACTCTGCCCTGTTGTTAATGGTGTAGCAGATAACACCCATGCTCTCCCAGTTTGAATAGTGCTCCTCTTTCCACAGTGCCTCTGAACAAACCCTGTCTCACGTCAGCTCCTGCAGCCTTGCAGACACTGCTCGTACCCCAGTGTCTGTCTCAGGTCGGTTGCCCTCACCCAAGGGGGAATTTCCAAGCTCAGGTGTTAAAGAGAAAAATTTCTGTGACTCCAGCAAGAGCACCTGGAGGAAAGCAGCCGCTACATAGCTCTTGACAACTACAATATGGAAAAAATAATAATTTCAAAAAACTTCTCCAGGCATGGCAAAAAAGCACATGAGGGATGAAAGGAAGAAGTTTAGCAAGTTTTCTGTATATCAGCCCAGCAAGACCAGGATACAGTTTTAGATAGAATATGACATATACATATCTTAAATAAAGACTCCAGAGGAGCAACCTAAGGCAAGGCTGTCCAGAATCAAAGCAAAGACAAGCCACGATCTGTGGTATTAATGTTAACACGAGGTTAGGTGTGCTGAAGTAGGAACGTCTAAAACATGGTTAGGTTTGATCCATTCAGGAACAAACGATGGTCCCCTTGCAATGGCTGGAGGTTGTAAATACCCTCCAGCGCTTACCAGAAAAAGTTGTTCAAACAATAGCTGAACCCTGCAGTCAAATCCTTGAAACATGTTTGCTTGACCTATTTGAAGCCAATCCTCTCTATAGATAATTTAAATAAACCACAAATCCTAGTTCAACCTTCTCACGCATTAACTTGCCTTACCACACAGTTCAAGACTGGTTGGCTATGGAGCGAAGGTGTCACTGAGCCGGAGTGTAAAAACTTGCTTTTAAATAAGTTCCACAGTTAAAAACGCATTTGCATCACGGTAAGTCCAGAAAATCACTTTCTGGCTGTAAAGAAACCACTAAAGAGTCTCATTGCTGCAAACACAAGCAGATGTTTGACCACATCGGTTCTGCATCAGAAAAGCTATCGTACAGCTGTGTCATTTAAGATATTATTTCACACCACATCAATGCACCTGGAAGACTTTCATTGCCTTGTTAAGAACAGGTTACCTGTGAGCTTTAAGAATCCTCTGAGCAATTGCATCGCCGATCTTGTTCCAGACAACTTTGTCATCAGCACAGCTAATAAAAAACTGGTTCTGCAGGAAAAGCAAGCAAAGCTACTGTCAGACATTGTCAGCAAGGAACAAAAAACACATTTGCATGCTTTATTTCAGACCAAGAGCAACTAAAGACAGCTGGGTTTGTGTGCCATTTGAGATGATGCTTTTTTAATTATTATTATTATTATTAAATGATGTGTGTGTCTGTGCTTGCTTAGGGAGTTAATTATTAATCACACTCCTTAGAATGTTCACATAAAGAACGTCCTAACAAGTGGCTAAAAAAAAAAAAAAAAAAAAGGAGAACAAGCATCTCCATTCAGCCAGGGCTGAGAGTTTCTCTGACACAGGAGATTCCTGCAGCTCCAGACTGTAGAGATGCAAGACCAGGCCTGTAAGATGGAGGGTTTAGGCATGCACAGGGGATGCTGCAAAGCCACGGAGGGGACAGGAAAACTATTGCACAGGTCCTGGAAACTGCTGGCAATTTTGCAAAGATGCTCATAAACGAGAGGTCTACTTTTGTGGTCAGAAGCCTGTCAGCCCTTGGAAACAGCCCCAAAACTTCAGAGCAGATTCTGTATTAATTTCCATATGATGATCCTCCTTTTGGGTCCCTTCCAACTTGACATATTCTATGGTATGTAACTAAATTCATAAAAAATTAAGACCAAACCTCAAGAGGAAGAACTGCCCTGATGGCTGCGAGCCATGCCCGGAGCACCAGGACACTCCTGCTTTCCCTCACTGCCACTCACTTCTATATAGATGTAGTGCTTGCTGTTTTCTATCACGCTGACGTAGGCATTGTGGATGGACTCCTCGTGGTATTTAATGCCCGCGGACCAGTCAGCAGCAGAACGGATCACCTGGAAAGCAAGAGATGAACACCTTGAGCTCTCTCCCACCCACGACGGCACAGCATTGTAACTGAATTAAGAGGCAACACTCTTCCCTGGCACCGTTTGCCTATCAGGATTTCACTACGTAAGGTAATCTGTGCAACACTCACCATTTATACTACGTTTGCAACAAGGAGAAAGGATGCTCAAAAATAGTAGTAGTGTTTAATAATGTTTTGATTAAAAAATGTAAGCGCCTTGTCCCATTACTGGCTTCTCCCACCTGATTTTAGATGCGACAGAAGCATCACAGAAGTTCTGTTCCTGCTTAAGGTCTTATGATAAACTGCTTTTAAAACAACCTAAGTTTCCAAGCTTTAGGGGTGCACATCCAATCAGCGATCTCCTCTCTAACAATATTTAAAGCTGGTCTCCAGCCAAGGCAATGTGTTTTTCCCACAAACAGGTGGCACATGATTATACAGTCAGTCTGATAGTGCAGGCCATGCCTTTGTCCTGAGCACCTGAGGTCAATTTACTTCTGTCAAATTCTTGCATAAGCCATCTGATTCGTGATGATACAACTTTTAAAATTCATAGCAGTTCAGCTGCCCACAATTATTTAATCATTTTTACTGGAAATCCACATTTAAAGTAGATACTGCCATCCCCGGGGCATGTTCTTCCCCTGTGTCCTGCAGCTCTTGTGCAAGAAAGCCAAACCACTACAAGAAACAACCTTTGTTCATGCTCTCGGCCAGGCTGAGCAAGCTCCACAGCAGAGAGCTTCCCAACCCGGACAGCCAGAGATGCTGCCACATCTCCCACTCTGCTTTGAGTCAAGAAGCAACCACACTATGCCCTAAGTGACATTTTCCTAGATGGAAATGCAGTTTTTAATTAAGTGTTGGCAGGGTATGTGCTCAAGGGAAATAATTACTCATGATTAGCCTCTGTCTTTAAGCACTGTCAAGACAAAAAAACATTAAAACAATAGCCTTAAAATATCTCAATACAGCCATTTATACCAGCACTCAGGGCCAGTCACACACAGGACAAGATCCAAATTCTGAGGATCTGTGAACTCTGTGTGTCACTATGTGAAAAAACCCTGATCTCTTTCGGGGCTCAACAATTTTCCCTGGAAATCCCTCCCATGGATTTATTCGAATCCTCCTTGTTCAGCTTCTGCTTCGCTCCATGTCACTCTCCCTGTCCCTCCTGACCCTGAGCTTTGCTGTCACACTGGCACCACCATCCACCATCAAAGCAGGCTGCTGGTCACGGCATAGGTGAGGACTTTTGAGGGCTAACTACCAGTAGTATACCAATAGAGAAGGATTTGGCCCTTCAGTCCAGATGCTGCATGCCTGAACCAAACCAGTCTCTCATCTCCAGAGTACCTCTGGAGATGGCACTGAAGGGAGTTGCTCTTAAGTAGCACACAACTCCTGAGCTAATTCCTTCCCCTGGACAGAAGCAGCCCTCACCCACAGGTCACCAAAAAAGAGATCTGGCAACTCTCCTACCTGTCTGCTTGCTTGGCCAACAGGAGCGAGCGCTCTGCAGCCTGCCAGAGTGAATACTGGGGTCACAGATGCTTGATGGAGGGAGCCAGCCTGATCACAGGGGCCATCACAGACTTCACTGGTCCCAAACAGCCACCCTTTGCTTGCACAAACCTCCGCGGGGCGATGCTGTTCATGCCCATGGGGTTGTAGCCACCCATTTGGTTCGCAAAGCCAACGCGGGTGCTCCCACACAGCCCAGGCTGGGCACTGCTGAAACCCCACAGAGCACCGCGGCTGATAGAGCTCTTGAACAAAATTCCACCATTTGCATTAACAAGGACAGAAAAAAAAAAAGGTTTTCTGGGTAGAAATCACACTAATTCTTCCAAACACACATCTCAGGCTGCAGCCTGGGCAGGAGCTCAAAACCTTCTACCTTCACTGGCAGAGCCGGTGGCCACGCTGCCCCTTCTCTGCCTTTTGTCCTCCTTCAGTGGAAACCTGGGCCCACAAAGCATGTCCCTGTGGGCTGGGGACCTCCAGCAAATACAATCTGGAATTGCACTTCAGAAAGCCACAGACTGTAGCTTCCTAGTGTACAAAGTACTGATATTGAATCTTTTTTTTTTTTTTTTTGCTAGTTAACTTTGTCCATGCTCTAAAGAGCTGCTTCTCTTTCCAAGATAAGCTGCTGAGCCCTGTACTAAACAAAGTAACTTCCACACTCTCATTTACAGCAGCAATAGCTGAGGAATAAATATCCTTTTCTAAATCAGGAGCTTGACAGCACCAAAGCCTCTCACTTTGAAAAACAACTTTACTGCCAGGAGACGAGTTTATTCCAAACCAGGATGCTGCCTGATGCAACAGAGCCATCGCTCAGGACCATCCCTTTCCAGCACATCGTCCACCTGCCCTTCCCTGCCCTCCTCTTCACCACTGTGCACATCAGCCCCGCAGCTCCCTCCGCACACCAGGCTGCCCGCTGTTACAGTCCTGTCATCCCCCTGCCCTCACCCCACAACAACATGTCACGGCTCATCCTAAAAAGCTGGTTCAGTATCACCCGCAGAGCTTACATCAGGTACAACCTCAAATCCAGGTCTGGAAGGAAGAAGGGGTGTCAGAAGATGCTGGCTGGGGCAGCAGAACAGGTGTAAGGTGTTCTTGATTGGACCTCCCCAAAATGAAGTTGTTTTTAACCTGGATCACTTTGGGGGCCAGCACCGATCGTGGTGCAGCTCCGCAGTTATGGTGACAGGCAAGGAGGTGGCAGGACAAGGCCACCAACATTGGTGGCTCTGCAGCCACCAACGGCAGCATCGCATGGATGGGGCACACGCCCGGAGGAAACGGAGCTGTGGAACTCAAAGACAAATACACACCTTGAAGTTTCCTACACAGGCCTTCCCTCTTCACTGGTGTTTCATCTCACACTTCTGGACACCTCTCCTTTCCTATCAAGGTATTTAAAGTAAGCTGGTTCAAACCCAACCTATTTTCCAAGGGAAAAAAGGCCACATGCTGCCCAGCACAGCTCATACCAACCAGAGCTGGTGTCTCCATGCTCCTTCCTCTCCTCTCCCTCAAGACTCTCAATAGCAGCACTCAGTGCTGTGCCAGACTTGTCATCCCTTTAACTTCTTTAACCGATACAACAGTAATAAATTTGATGTTTGTTATGGGCTAGTGCATAAACCCTGAACAATGCAAGCTCTCATGCAGACTTCAAAGAGGTAAAGGCATTAGCCATTGCCAGAGCATTAAATTTTCATTGCATTTACATCAGAAACTGGGTATTGCCTCACCACGTCAAATCTTCTGCAGTGCTGGCTTTGGCTGATAACTGCAAACTCTGGAATGGAAATAGAGAGCTGGAAAAAAAACTGACACTGCCTTTGGCAGACAGCTATTTGACTCTTGCAAAAAAAAAAAAAAAAAAAAAAAAAAAAAAAAATCAACGCGCAATCACATTTCTATTGCGAGCAAAGCCCAAAAGTTCAAACGAAAGAGGATGAGAGACTATGTCTAACCAACCCGTGGAGCTGACAGGCTCCCTTCCTCCTTCCCTGCCCGTACCTCCACATCATTTCCCATGTATGCTGTATTCATCCTCCCTGCCCAGAGGAAAGCCCCTGTCAGTGCTGGTTCTGCTATCCCCACCCTCCCAAAACCACTTTCCTGCTCCTCTCCTCTGACAAAGGAGAGCAAAACCAGATGGTAAAATGAGGTCAAAATCTGCTGCTAACAGGTCAGTGGCTCGGGCTTGCAGCAACGTTGCAATCCTCACAGATCCTTTGTGTTTTCCCTTCCTCTGATCTGCCCACAATTGAAGACAGATTTGCAAACAAGTTCAGAAAGAAGAAAACTGGCAGCCAGACCTTCTTCAATCACCCCACAGCCAAGGACAGTCACTGGATCCTGGGTTCTACCTCGGGGCAGTAACTTCTGCCTATAAAGTCCCTACACAGCACCAAAATGGGGATAACAAGGTCTGGCTGTTGGCCAGCCAAAGGATTCAGTATCAAGAATAACAACAATATTGCTCTAGTTTTTCTGGATAAAAAAAAAAAAAATGAGTGGAAGTTTTAGTGTATCTGTATATTTCTTCACTAGATTGTACCACTGAAAGGAGACATGAGCACCTGCAACCCTCTGGTCCAAAACTAACATATTTGACAGGTAAAAGCTTGATATTCCCATGACTGCAGGAAAGGAGAAGCAATGCAGGGACAACCCAATGCACACCCCAGGAGCTCCAGAAAAAGGCAGCTGGGAGGAAGGGGGGTTCAGAGCCAGGTTGCAGGTGTCCTCCCCTCTCCCCACCTTCTGCAGCAGCCAAATCTGAGACCATCATCAGGAGCCATCAGCCTGAGCCACTCGCTGACCTACAGCAGAAACCAGAGGGATGCTCAGGGCACTTGTGTCACCCAGGGACTGATGAAAACCAGGCCAGCATCAGCATCTTGCCTCTGTGCCCAGCAAGATCATGGAGCTGATCATCCTGGAAACTGTGCTAGGGCACATGGAAAATAAGGAGGTGATTGGTGACAGACAACATGGCTGCACTAAGGGCAAATCGCATCTGACAAATCTGGTGGCCTACAACGGGGTTACAGCACTGGTGGGTAAGGGAAGAGCAACTGACCTCATCTAACTGGTCTTGTGGAAAGCATTTGACACTGTCCCACATGACATCCTTCTCTCTAAATTGGAGATACACAGATTTGACAGATGGACCCCTCAGCGGATAAGGAATTGGCTGGATGGTCACACTCAGAGTTGCGGTCAGTGGCTCCATGTCCCAGTGGAGAGCAGTGACGAGGGGCGTTCCTCGGGGGTGTGTGCTGGGGCCAGCGCTGTTCAACATCTCTGCTGGTGACATGGGCAGTGGGATCGAGGCACCCTCAGCACATTTGCCAATGACACCGAGCTGTGTGGCGTGGCTGACACGCTGGAGGGAAGGGATCCATCCTGAGAGACCTGGATGGGCTGGAGAGGGGGCCCGTGCATGAACCTCATGGAGTTCCACAAGGCCAAGGGCAGGGTCCTGCACATGGCTTGAGGCAATGCCATCCACAAATCCAGGCTGGGTGACAAGTGGATTGAGAGCAGCCTGTGGAGAAGGACTTGGGGGGGTTAGCGGATGGAAAACTGTGAGCCAGCAATGTGTGCTCACAGCCCAGAAAGCCAACCATGTCCAGGGCTGCATTGAGAGAAGTGTGGGCAGCAGGGGAGGGAGGGGATTCTCCCCCCCCCTCTGCTCTGCTGTCATTAGAGCCCCCTGCAGCGCTGTGTCCAGCTCTGGGGGCACCAACAGCAGAAGGACACGGACCTGCTGGAGTGAGTCCAGAGGAAGCCACGAAGATGATCAGGGGGCTGGAGCACCCCCTGTGAGGACAGGCTGAGAGAGTCGGGGGGTTCAGCTGGAGAAGAGAAGCTCCAGGGAGACCTTAGAGCGGCCCCCCAGGGCTGGAAGGGGCTGCGGGAAAGGGGGGAGGGACTCTTGATCAGGGGGTGTAGGGATAAGATGAGGGATAAAGGCTTTAAACTGACAGAGGGGAGATTTACATTACATATAAGGAAGAAATTCCTCCCTGTGAGGGGGGTGAGGCCCTGGCACAGGCTGCCCAGAGAAGCTGTGGCTGCCCCCTCCCTGGAAGGGTTCAAGGCCAGGTTGGACGGGGCTTTGGGCAACCTGGGCTAGTGGAAGGTGGCCCTGCCCGGGGCAGGGGGTTGGGACTGGATGGGCTTTAAGGTCCCTTCCAACCCAAACCATTCGGGGATTCTGGAGAAGACAGCCAGAATTACAGTATGCACGTGCAGAACCATGCCTCAGAGCTCAAGGAGATCATCCAGAGATAACAACCCAGCCACAAGGAGCCAAGGGACCTGCACCCAGGGGAGAGGAGTCATCCTCACTGCTTACACTGTGCTTGGTGCTGCAACACTCTTCCCCCCAAAGTCTTCCCTCATACCAGGAAGGCTGGTACATTGCAGGGCAACATATTTTAAGCCTAATATCATATTGGTTTATTTATCTGGCTATACCCTGACAGGTCTCTAAAAGCTGCAATTTGACATAAATTAGAAATGAGCAAAGTAGTTTCAAATGAATAATTTACAAGACAAACCTGTTCTCTTTTTGCTGTTTATGGCATCACTGAGAACAGCCCCTCATTTCCTGGAATGTATCAGTTATTTGCAATGCCCCAACAATGTTGTGATGAGGCTTGTTTTAAACAGCTCACCATCACTCAGCACTGGTGGTGTACGTGGCATTTAACAGTCACCAGCCTCATCCTCTTCCCACGGGACTGAAGGAAAGTTAGACTTAGACATGCTCAGTTTAATTTCTTCTTTGGGAACTGCTTCCAGTTCTGTAATCCATACAACCTAACTTTTTGCTACAGCAAACCTCATGATTTAGAAGTTGAAGTTGATTTTGGGGTTAGAGCATGCTCAGGGGATACCAGCTCCCTCAGTTCCATCGGAACAAAATTTCCCAAAAAGCTGGCATCACAGACACAGCCACAGGGAAGCGCGATAGTGCCTGAAGTGAGACAATTTCTCAACAAACTGCAAGTATTGTTTCGGAGACTGATGTGAAATGCCTGAGATCCATGCAACACGGTCCCTGTGCTGGCCATCCCTCACACCACACAGGGAGGAGCAGACAGTGCCCAGGCAACCCACAAACCCAGAAAAATACATCTTGTTACACGAAGCTTCCCCAAGCGTTGCTGTCATCTGGGTGGACCACTCCTTATGCAGAGCAAAGGCATGCATTTTTCCTGGTTTTGGTCTAATTGCTCTTATTTCATAGATCTTTCATCCACAGAGACACACAATTGTTTTGCTGCCTCAGCATAACTGTTCTGACTTTGTATTCTTCAACAAGTCCATGTCTGTGCTGGGTAACAGTAGTATTCAATAGATGCACTCAGTATAGCTAACAGGGTTTTAAAATACAGGTATCTTGGCAATTATGACTGCGAGGATGATTGTCACAAATGAGGGCTGATGTGCAGAACTGCAGAGGACCCAGAGGGCTGAATGGCTACAGAATAAAATACAGATGAAGTTCAGCGCAGAAAGCAACTGCCCAAAGACTCCACTTAATGCTAGCCTCTGCCTGACCACTACCTGTCTGAGCAAGGCATTGGGGGCCTGGTAGACTGCTCTGAGATAAATATTCAGTGGGCAACCTCAACCCATCAGGCCTTCCCAAGACATAAAAAACAACGTTAGGCATTAGAAAAGCAGCAGAAAACAAAACAGAAAATCACACAGTCATACGAAGTCATAGTGTTCCCACAACTTGAGTGCTGCACACAGCTTGGTGGTATAAATTAATGCATCTCTGCTAAAGAGTTGCATTATTTTATAGTAATTGAGGATCTGACCACCTGTGTTGTGAGTTAAGATTAAATAAGTTTTTTGTTTTGTAATTTCAAGTTCTGCAGAGGGCCTGTCAGACATCGACACTTCCTGCTGGAATGATGCAAAACAAGTTTTCTTAGGAGTAGGTGAGCAGGAGACCATCAACACTCACCTGGACTGTGGCACGAACAGCCTCGGGCACCTGATACTTCAACTCATTAGCAGTTTGCTGAGATTTTGGCAACAGGAATGGGTAGGACAGGGATCGGTATTTGGGCTTCATAATCTGCCCAGGGGAAAAAGAAAAAAAAATTCTTTAAGAGATTGCAACATAGCAGAATAACATTTAAAAAAAAAACAACGCATGCCTGCGGAGGGCATGTGGATGAGGCAGGGGCTGTATTTATTTCTGTGCCCCCAGCAGCGATGCCCACACCCCACCTTGGTGAAGTTCCAGCGCTGGATGAAGTGTCGGGCGACATCACGAGCTGCTCTGCCGTGCACCACGGAGGAGATGTCATGCCAGGGCATCCTCGGGGTGGTGTATCTGTCAATGAAGTCTATAGGACAGGAGAGCATGTTTGGCCTCCTCAGACAAAGCACATGAATGTGGAAAAGCAGGATCCCCCTCCTCAAACTGAAGCTTTTGGGACACGGCACCAAGGGTTGTGCAGATGAATTTAGACTTGTCGTGCAACTGCCCACAGTCCAAGTCTATGGACCATAACGGTATCATTGACCCTAGAACCTTTCAAAGGGAGTTCTGCTGCTTCTTCCCAGCAGCCAAACCAAAACAGCCTTGTTACCTCTGTCTCAGAAGCACAAAAAATACAGTTTGAGACTGAAAAGGTGCAGAAGGGGGTTTGGGGTATGTAATGACTTCCAGGGTGCAAAGGCACTTACCAGCAAAAGGTTTGTCAAGTTGAACCCAGTCTTTAAAGACAAAGTTGCAATAGTCTTTTCCGTGCCAGAACCTGGTTTCCCCAAGGAGTTCACCAACACCTGTCTTCAAGCTACGGATGGATCCTTTATCTGTCACAGGCAAAGAAAATAACAAAAACTCATGCTCCAAAGTCATGGCTGTCCATCGCATACCACTGGTGAGAGACTCAATGCCATGGAAAAGCATTGGTGGGACTTGACTGGCCTGGCTGGCTGAAGCTGTTTTCTCCCTCGTTTTCCTGTGGCTTTCAGAGGATACATACTCATATTTTTTCATCCTTATTTTAATATTTGTTATACAATTAGGACAGGGAATATACAGGACTCCATTATGGAAACAAAAAGCCTTGGACTAAAAAAAAAAAATAAAAAATTACCCTATAATCATTTGTCTTTCCACAGTCCTGTGACACCTAAATATTACATGTGGCAGTCCACTCCCAGCTGCGACTGACCTTAGTGGATCTCTGTACAGGAACACCACATATACTGTCTAGTTAATATATTCTACACTACTAATGAACTAATTCCAACTTCTCTGCTAAAGGGTTTATTATTTTGCCTCTATCTCAGGGTGTATCTCCTCTAACAAAAGCTAGTCTTTATTAACTAGAATGAGGTGATTAAAAAGCTCATATTCCCTCATTAAGTATTGTGGGGTTTGTTTGTTTCGTTTTTTCTTTTTTTTCCAAATAACAGTGTCATCTTTTGATACAATTTTACACATTGAACTAACGGATCCCAAATTCCAAATTGATGGTGATATAAATATTGTGGACAGGGATAGTTACAAAATATTGCAGACAGGGACATTTCCTGCTAACAGGGTCCCTTTTATGGAGCACATATTTTGGGTGCAGAGTGAACTCGTCTTCCTCTCTTCTAAGAAAACAAAAAATGTTGGCCTAGACCATAAACATGTGACTAGCATTATTTCCTGACCTTGAGAGCAGCCTTCATCTACTGTACCAAATACCAGTGCAATAATGACACAGTAACATGCCAACAGCAGAAGCCTTCTCCTCACCCAACCACATCACCAAGCAACCATAAAAACTCCTTAGGACAAAAAAAACCTTTTCAACAGTCAACAAAATACACGTCGGCAGCAACGCAACAAGACCAGTTTACACGAAGCAAGCCATGCCAGCACTGCTTAACCGAGCCGAGCTGAGCCAAGCCATGCCAAAGATGCCATGCAGCTGGTGTGCACCACGGCTGCCTTGGGAAGCTTGAGCTGCTAGTGAGAGTCCAGGTGGAGCTGGGGAATCGCTGACTCGGCATGCTCGAATGGGAATGGGTGGGACACGCCAACTGGCCCAAAGACACCTCACATACCCAGCTCCGATGACTGTACACCGACTCGTGAATGAGCATGAGGTGAGCACAGGGGAGACCACACTTCATTGCCATGGAGCAAATGCATCTTTTCTTTGTTACCTGTTACTACTTTATAACCAGTACTTTATAATTGGCAATTAATGCCTTAGAGGAAGACATTATCAAGAGGAAGATGTTGAAGGACTGCTCCTCACCCCATACCAGAACTCAAAAGCATCTTGATGAGGTATCATATTTTAAAATGGCCTTTCAACATCGGTCCCGAGGTCAGAACAGTTCAGTGATCTCAACCACCCACCCCGTCCTGATTGCTTTCATTGATTTTAATAAAGGGCAATAGAGGGGTCCTTCCAGGTCTTCATCCAAACATAGGTCTAGCAGCAGCCACTTTGCTGTTTCCTCTGTTTTCATTTGTCTTCCCACATCAGGCTTATTTTAAAACATCCAATGCAAAAGTTCCCAATTCCACTAACATGTCCCTTCCTTTACAGGAAGACAACTACTGAAATAATAATTTACCAGAATCAGAGCTCTTTTCTCAACTGTTCCCTGCTGTCATTACTGCAAATTTCTTTGGGTTTTTTATTTTTATTTTGTTGTGGTGGTGGGGTGGGTTTTATTGTTTGGTTGCTTGGTTACTTTGTGGGTTTTTTTCCCCATTTTTATTTATTTATGCTGCAGGTTTTGGCTCTTCTGCCAGGATGTCCTCAGAGTGGTGCTAAGGATGCTGGGAGAACGACAAACAGCGAAGGCTGACCCTGGCACCCAACCTAACTCTCACCATCACTACAATGCAAAAACATCAGCAGCTAAAGCCTGAAGGGGTCTGCATCTCTGCCTTCCTCCACTTACCCTCCCGAGGCTCAGCGAGCCCCTGCTTGGATTCAGTGTGGTGATGAAACATTTTCAGATGGGGTTTTAAACTCTGGATTATATTCGGTTGACTTCTAGTGGGGTTACAGTAACCTGCAGAAAGTCAAGATGCTCTGTTTATGGCAAAAATGCAAATCCACTTCTGCCACAGTGGTGCCTGATCCTGCCTGAAGACACCTTACAGGACAGGATCTCAAAGGAGACGCCAATCTGCCAAAATGACAAGTGACCAGCAGGCAAAGGACCAAATTTAAGACCCAGCTGGTTTTAAACTGAACAGATCGATTGAAGTAGCAAAGCCAGAGCTATGTCCTGAGCTGACCACCACCAAGGCAAACAATGCTCCAGCAAGGCTTCCTCTGCAGGGAGTGATGGAAACTCAGATAAGCTCCCACCATGACCAATATACAGCTCCAGGAGCTGAGGACCTCAAGAACAGACTTCAGGAAGGACTCCATGCTAGAACAAACGTCAAGACAATCCTTGTAATTTTAGCTTTGAAGCTGCTTGTAACGCAGGGAATTAAAAGCTGCATTCAAATATTCAACCGTTGAATAGTTTGTCCTCTCTAGGAAGCGGGCAAATTGGGAATATTTCCATTTAAGTGAACTGATTTAAACCTAAGTGACACTAGTCTGTGAGAGGGGACAATCACATTCAGAAACCATTTTGCTTGTTACAATACATACAAGTTGAAAAACAAAAGATTCGATTCTCCCTTACAGAACAAAAGTTTTCATCAGTATAAACAATAAGTATCATGTACGCTGTCATCTGATAGCTCATGACAATTGCTAATTAACTAAATGCAAAATCCACTTAAAACTTTTCTTGTATATCTTGCAGTGACACAGATTTACATATTAACTATGCATAATTATAATTCTGATAGTTAAGAAATTCATCAACTTTCCTTCCTTACAAAGAACACATTACCCTAGAAATTATGTGAATTGGCAACGTACATCCACCCACCCACCTCCACACATGCTTCCTATATGTTTAGTTGAAAAACATTACTTACTTGATTCACTGTCTATGCTGCTGACGCTGTCAGCGTGGTGAATGCCATGTTTATGGAGATGCTTGTAAATACTGAACCTTGAAAACTTTTTCGGTTTTCCTACTCCTTTCATTTTTGATGTGTCTGGGGCATCATCAGCATTTTTCTGGAACAAGTGGCTTTCTGGGGACAGAGCTTGAGACTGAAGGGGGATACATTCAGATGACTCTGCTGCAGACTTAAAAGACAGAGGACATTGTTGCAGGTGATGTATGGCCAGGTTTGTCTTTGATTTCAGATTATCATGCACATCAATGCTCAGAAACAACCGTGAGCCAAACACTGCTCCATGACAAAGACACACTTCGGTGGGAACCTCAAATACTTTTGAGGGAGACTCTGTACTGAGGAGGCACTCGACAGGAATCCCCAGTAATACCAGCAGTATTTGATTCCATAGATGTACTCTGGATTATTAGTCCTCTTGGAATTCTCATAAATTTAGAACTCTTTAAATTTTTGAGAGCTCCGTATGCATACAGACCCAGGTTAGCAGACAGCTCAGCAAGCAAGGCACCTGCTGAGGGCCCGAGTATCCACAATTTCAGAGCACTCAGAGTGCCTACTGTGCACTTCTAGTTAAATTTTATTAAGAATGTAGCCTCCCAGTTGTGACTGCTGCTCCAGGGAAAACCCAGCTATCTCCAAGCCCTAGCAAGGGCTGGTCAAGATCTAGCCCTAAGGAGCCATCTGATGCTCAGATACTTCCTCCTTCCCATTACTATTCCTCTTTAAACCTCCTACACCCAACCCTGTGCTTAGGACCAGACACAGCTGGTCCATCCCCACTGCAAACCTGATGCGCAGGTGTTGAACGCGGCCACCAGCTGGAGCAAGCTCACTTACCACCAGGTTGGTCACAGACTTTGTTGCTGCCATTCGTTTCACACTGCCCACGTCGGTCAGGCGGTGCTCGTCATCGTCCCACCTGCCATACGCCAGGTCAATGCCACCCACAAATGCCACACACTGGTCAACAATGACAAGCTTCTCGTGGTGGGCCCAGAGGTACACGGAGGAGGACACGTGGTCTGGGTGTCTCATCACCTGGGGAGAAAACCAGGACTCGAGGTCAGTGTCGCTGCCCAATTTACAACCCTCCAGCCAGAAAGCTGCCCAGATTTTTTTTTTTTTTTTTGTCTGCTTGGGATGATGGGGAAACACTGGAGTTTTTAGAAGATGCCTTCACACAGATTGCTGTAATTACTGAAGCTACACTACTCCTCCCGCGTTGGGCTGAGCCTTACTGGCAGGCAGGTGCTTCCCCACAACACAGGTATTCCCAAGCAGCAACGGTTACTGATGTTGGGATAGGTCACCCTTACAGCAACAGTGCTCATAAGAGGACCATAGTCAAGGAAACCATTTCAATGAATAAAATCATGCTTTCAGTAGAGCTATAATAGCTGAGCTTTCAAACACAGAGCCTGCTCTAAAAGAAAACAACATATTGGTGATCTGACTCACTTCTTTGATTGTTGCCACTACATAAGTGAAATGAGAAGTTGGCTGTTTTTTTTCCCCATTTAAAATCAGCAAGTTGTTTTGACATTTGTTTATGAGGTTCTTTTTGATGCTTATGGTAAAGTAATACCTATATCTAAGAATACAGTATATAGTTTTATTTTTTAATTTTAGAGGAGAGCCATTGGACCAGCTTCCTAGGGAAAAAGCCACAGAGTTTCACTGGGCTGCTCCCCAAACCTGTTACACAGCTAGTACAGATCTTCCAGTTACACCTTCCAGTCTTGCTGCAAAGATGATGGTGAATGGATGCTTCCCTTCACCGTGACAACTGACCAAGTGACAATAAACCTATTATTCTAGCAGTTTGTTAGTCACCCTCATGCATAACATATATTTTAATGAGCAATAAGATACATGTCTCTAATTTCAAGAGACCGGGTCTAGCCTTCTCTGCTGGTTTGTGTGCCACAACCCATTTTCTGCTTGGTGGCAGATCAGCAGCAAAGCAGCACAGGACAGTGCGATGCTGTTCATTCACGATGGGAATGTAAACACCCAGTGTTGACTCTCATCGTTTATATATGAACAGAAATGCTCAAAATGAGACAACATTTTCAAATTATAATTTTCCATTTGATATAACCCCATTAACTTGTCACATGAAATACGTTTCTTGTGAATCAGACGAACAGTTGGCTTTGGCAAGTCTAAATTAAGCAATCTTATATTCAGTTATAACCTAAAGAAATTAATCTGCCAGATGTGGTAATCACTGTATAAGTGATTATCAGACTATTCCCACTGCAACGGTCGGAATCGCTGTTCTTCTAGTTCACACCTAAATACACTGAGGTTCAGCACTAGCTATCAAAAAACAAATGAATGCAAATGTCCTTCATACGACTACCTGATGCACAATTACCTTAATGTTTGGATGGAGGTGCATGAGTGTCCGCTTGCTGTATTCACTGTTGATCCCTAGGGCAAGCTCCACCTCCTTGTACAGCATAACAAAAATTCTCACTCCTTGTTGCTGTCAGAAATAAAAGACACATGGTATGTGGGTATGTCAATGTATGCAGTCCATTTCCAGAGCGAGGAAAAGCTACAAGGCAGTCAGTACGTTGTGCCTGCAGACAGAAATGGAGGCTGAGGTTACTTGTTCTTGGTGTCATGCTTCGAGATCCACCACGGAGACCCCACAGCGTGCAAGGGCCCCAATGCTCAGGAAAGCTCTTCAGCTTCCAGAGGAGGGCTCGGTACCTGCATGTGTGTGTGAAGAACCGAGCTACACCAAAGCCCATCAACACGTCGTTCTTACAGCAGCCCCTTCTAAACATCCTTCGAGGTAAGATTTTGCAAACGTGATTCACTCCACGTATAATCATGTTGCACACATCCACTGAAAATCCGTTTTCTGCTGCTTCATTGCTGCCCTGAGGTTTGCCCCCAGTTAAAAGCTTCTGCAGGACAATGATAGCAGGCATACGGTCATCCCTCTCCTAAAGGGGATGCAGCCAACTCCACACCAGCAAACAAGCAAGCTCTTTCTGCTGGTAGAGCTAAACAAGCTCCTGGAATACACTGAGCAGTGCTCAAAGGAGGGTGCTTTTTGTGACCAGGATGGTATCCACAGGAGGGTTTCTAAGGACACTTCTTAAAGTACTTTCAAAACTGCCAAGTACTTCCCAAACCTTGGCAGATGCTGGTCACACACTGGGACACCTTCAGTTGCCATAAATCAGCATGGTTTAAAATCCTGCCGTGGAGTTTGCCAGCTTAAACTTGTGACCTAAAGTTTCCACAGCCTTTTAAGTTCCTATTCCCATAAAGATGCTACTGAGTGCTGAGGCAGTCTGCGAACCGGGGGTGATGATCTGCTCTCTGCTCAGCCAGAGAAGCCCAAGGCAGCGCTGTACATACATGAAAAACAGCCCTACCCCTGTACCTTGCGACTGCCCTGTGGAGTCAAGGCAATGTTGCAAGTGAAAGAGCAGGCAAGTATTTCCAGGAACTAACCTTAAAACACTCCTCACTTTTACAAGGTCCTTATTGCCATAGGAAAATCCATGTCAACATGACAAACAAAGCCAAATTCTTCCAGCCAGCGAGCACGCCCCGTGGCCATGTTTCGTTTGCCAGAAAATAAAAACTACTTCCAAATCAACAATAGTCAGACACAAAAAATTGGGTTTTTTTCTAGGCATGTGGAGGGGTGAGGACTGTGATGACAACTCGTTTGGAAGGGGCAGGAGTCAAAGACTATTTCAGCATGTCCACCTGGACTCCTGCCCTTCGACCACACCAAGGGTTCAAGAGACTTCCCGGGCTGTGCTGCCCTTCCTGACTCACCGCTCACATGAGGCAAACTACCATTTCTAGCACCAGTGTTATCACAGGTTGGGTGAACAACTCAAGTACAGCCCACATCCATAAACACCTCACCCTCAGCTTCTCTGCCTGCCTCGCTTGGCTCCACGAAACAAGTTCTCTATCGTCTGCATCCAGACGTGTCACTGGAAAGCAGAGGACAACCAGCAACAAAATAAACTGTTCTCCGAGAAGAAAACGCTCAAAGGAAAATGAAATGAATCTAGTAGTTGCAGTTGCTTCCTCATATCTCAAAGTGCTGCGCAAGAAGAGAGAGCATGCAACAGCAGAGAGCTTTCCAGGAACCCTGACTGGGAGTGACAGGAAAGTCACCGGGTCAACAACAGGTCTGAGCTTTTCTGTTCAGGAGGAACAGCAGAGAAGGAGAAATTAAAACAGGGAGAAAAAAAGACTTATCAAATTCATACAAACATTTGCTTACTGAACACGAGCATTTATTAACTCAGATAACATGGCAATGCAAACAGGAGTCTGAGTCTCCAAGTTATGTTTATCATCTCCTTGTAAACAAGTTGAACACTGCACTTCAGCTCTAGGGAACATGATGGTGCTTGTGTTTGTACACTTTTTTTTTTTTTTCGTGCTTTGCTGAAGCCCTTTTCCCACATTCTTTCTCCACAGCAATGGACCAGGTCCCTCATGATCAGAGTCTCCACTGAAAAAGGACAGGCTGGGAGGACACAGCTGATCTGCCTCATCTTAGTGGCCACGAGAACCACGAGAATTCAGAAAGGAGTGGGCATGAACAAAGAAAACCAGGAGACATACAGGTAGTAAGAGACAGCTACCAAAAAAAAAAAACCAACAAACCACTTTATCTAATCATGTAAGTTACCCTTGGAAATAAAAATAAGAAAAAAACCACCACAAAAACCTTTCAGGCTTTAGCTTTTCTTATATGCTCCACTAAAATTTATTATTACCAATGAAGGCAGCTGTGAAAGAGCTCCAGCACAAAAAGCTTTGGGCAGCATGGCCCAGGCAGGACAAAGGCAAGAGGGGCTCCAACACAGGTCATGGGGCTGGGAGACACCAGGATGATATTTAATGTCAACAGGCACTTCTTTACTACACCAAGGAATAATGGGTGAACAGCAAGAACATTAGTTCTTTGGTGTTCAGTTGTAGCAAGGAGCTATGCAATGTATCAAGCATGGAAAACCCAAGGAGAAGGCTATGGTGAGAAAGCATGAACCTCTGAACGATACCAAGTGCATTTTTTGCTAATGACATCCTGACTTTTGTGGCAGACTGGTGGTATCTAACTGCTTCGGCTCTGAAAGCTGCAGCATGGACACACACCACATGGTAATGACAGACAGGATCTGCACAGCACAGTAACATCCAAACCACCTACCGAGAGCCACTGCAAAGTGCTTAGCTGTTCCCATACCTCTGAAATACATACGCCAGAAGGAAAGCACTGGACAGAAGCAGCTCTTTGACCCCACCAGGAGCTGGTGTGGTTGTAACGCAAGGCTGAAGTGACCCTAGCCTGAGGACTTGAAGGGGTAGTCAAGAGGATCTACCCTTGTGCCTCTGAGCTCTTCCAAGCCCATAGGGGGGGAGCAAATCAAAACACAGTTTTCTGAGGCCATCTGAAATGAGGCTTGGCCGCTTAAACTCTCATCCCTAGCAAAATAAATGGTGCAAACGCTCTGGTCTCAGCATGGCCTGTAAGTGGGTGGGCACGCGGGGTTTCTGCAGGGTGAAGGTTGCAGCTGGAGCTCACTTACTGCTTTCCGCTTGAGGATGCAGTCCAGGCGCCAGCGATTTCCCTCCACAACGGGCCGTTTCATGAAGATTTCTGGGCTCAGCCTAAGAAAACACAAGGGTGGAAAAAACACAGCATACGTAGTCTGCAAACAAAGCATTGGTCTAAATAATCAACTGGGGAAGCAAAGAAATCAAAGTTTATATAAAGCGGATGTGAAGGCTTGTGTCCCAGAGTGATGCTTTCTCCAATATTATGCTCTTTGTTTTTTAATAACAGAGTATTACAGAGAGCAGGAAAGATATCCAGCACACTCATCTTAGTATCCAACAACCCATGAGACCAAGTTTAACAGTGATGTATCAATGGGGAAACTTGGACTCTATCTATGAACGAAAGATGCAACAAAAGGAAACCCCAAAGTAGATTTGAAAAATTGTGTAAACATAAAAAATAACTAAGAGTAGGATTTCAATACTCCTGGTACTTAGGCTATCTGAGCAGCAGAGATTTGTGCTGAATCTTCCTTGCTACCTAATGACAGAGCAATATGATCTCTCAACAGGACATCTTAATGATTCATAGCTTTAAGGATTACAAGGAATAATTAAGCAATCTCATCTAACTCCTGCAAAACAAGGTGACAGAATTTCATACCTTTCCTGTACCGAGTACAGGAACTTGTGCTTGGATAAAGTATATTGCTACATCCTAAAAACACGTTTCTGGCAACAGCCTTTTTATCTCAAGACTCCAAGTTTCAGATAAGTTTTGGAATTTCAAGATACATTAACGTTTTATTCAAACAATTGTTAAATAAGAGACAACTGATCTGAGATGCAGTGCTATTGCACTGATACCTGATGTTGCACATGGGGATCCAGAAGCACGGGGTTTATTTGTGGTCATGTTAGAAAACAGGTTTCCCCCAGTAAATGCTAACATCATATTTGGCTTTCTCGTAATATTGCCACCTAAGAACTAATCCTCTCCGTTCCTACAGACAGTGAATTAGCAAAAGACTCATTTTACAGATGAAGAAAGAGGAACACAGAGACATGCTCGAGGTTAAAGAGGGCACCTGAGCCATGGCTTGGAAGCCTGCCCTACCATCCCATCCCCAAGGTCCAGGCTGGCTCAGCCAGATTAACCTCCGCTAAGGCAAGACACAGGCAGCCACAACCAGCATCCAGCCAAGAAACTCTCCCTGAGTCTGTGAGAGCAACCTTTTTCTGCCTCTATCAGGAATCAGAGCACTGCATAAACATATTGAATTATTAGTTAAGAAGAGGGCAGAGCCAGGTCCTTCAGCATCCACACAGCTCAGAAAGAGCAAAACCTCCCCTCTCCACTGTCTGGCCCATTTAAGAGCAGAGCAAAATCACAGCCCTGCAAAACGCTCTTGCTGCTGGCCTGAGGCTTCCCAAGACAGTGAAGAAGAGGTGAAAGGAGCATCTCACAGGGCATCCCACGGGAAGAGCACTGTTGGAGGTGTCTGAGCATCCACGTTCCCTTGTGCACTGAAAGACATTCACGCCCCTTGGGTTTGCAGCGATTTACACCCCTGATGAGCACCTCAGGCCACACACAACATTTGCAATTCAGGTGGTGCCTTCATGCGATTTCAGGCCTTTCCTTGGAAGGAGACAACGAAGCTGCTGATTTTCAAGCATGCGCTTTTGCTGCCAACCCTCCTGAAAAGGCCTTTGAATACAACACAAGGAGATGTTTGGGTGTGCTGCCAAACCATCTGGCTGCACGGCGAGCTGCCATACTGTAGGGCCTCCCAACAGTGCCGCATTGTCAGGAACGTCCCAAGAGAGACGTCTGGTCAACATACAAATATGTAAGTACAAACCACCAATCTGTGATGAAAATTTCTTCTTTAGCAGCTTCCATGGCATTTGCGACATCTTCAAAGTACCACTTAGCATTTACATACCTGTAAAAGCAAACACAACACACAGATCTAGGTTTCCTCCCCACTCCGTTAAATGAAGTCCATAGCTGAAGTTCTGTATTAATGCCGTTTATGTTTTCTTCTCAAAAGCAAACACAAACCTAGTTTCAAGAATCAGGACAACACGTAGGGACAATTTCATGCTGCTATTAGTAGCTCCATGGAACAGCACAATAAGAGATTATTAAGTGCCACTCGGTACTTCTGCCAACCACACACAACATTCTTGGGTTTTGCCCGACACGTGAGCTAGGTTTGGCTCTCAGGAAAGGATGGTGGAGTGGTGTTTGCTTTGATTTACGGAAACTATCTGGGCAGCAGTTGCCGCAAGGCAGAAGCCACAGCAAGAGCACTGCAAGGGTTTGCTTCCCGCTTGAATCAATTTTCTGAGGTGCTTCTGGGAATGGCTGAGTGCAATCAAGTTACACCACAGACAGGAGGAGTTCTCATGGGACTGCTGTGTGCATAAAGCCCAGACATCCTCAGACTCGATGCAGGTTTACATTTGCTGATTCTCTTTCATTACAAAGCCAATCTGCAAGGCCTGAATCTTCAACCAGATGAGTGATGTTTGCACCTGAACACATGCCTGGTGCCTGGAAGGGCAATGCTGCCCCGCAGAATGAGGATCAGCCTTGCAAATGTGGTGAGCCAGAATATCTTGCATTTCAGAGTATGAAGGACATGACCAGACCATCCTTTGCAGAGGAGCATGGGCAGGACAGGCTGCAGCACAGCTGCTTTGGGAGGGAGCTATGGAGAAGGGAGTAGCCAGAGACAGACATTTTCAATAGCACCTGCATTACCAAGGGCTTACAACCCAGAGCCCAAAGACCTAAATCCTTGGGAAAACAGCATTCCCACAATCAGAAACTGGGGTAAAATTGAAGCCAGGAATATCTTAATGAAAGAGCAGTTCTGCTTTTAACTCGTAAGCATCCACCCAATTATATGTGCACCAAAGTACTATCTTTATCATTAGGATAATGAATGCCCAACGTGTTCAAATTCAAACTTGATGTTTCAAAATGCTATTAGCTGTGATGCAAAGCCATAACAGGATCAAAGCACTCCTGTGCTATTATACTGCTATTCTGCTCCCAGTGAAGGAAAATTCCTTCCTCCCCCCCGCAACTTCTCCAATTCCTGCCAGTCCCTACAGCTACCAGCTCCATCCACCACCCCGGGGCTAAGGCGGGCGGCGTGTGGCAGCCTGGCCGTGGTCCTCACCACTTGGCCAGCGTGTCCTCCTGCACGGCTGCGTAGGAGCCGAAGCGGTGCTCTGTGAGGAAGTCCTTGCCGTGTTTCCGAATGAACTCGTCGATGCCCTGCCTCCACCACTGGGCATGTCTGTAGCTGTTACACTTCAAAATCAGTGACCTGTAAAACAGACGATGCACAGGGCAGGGTGCTGAAGCTACGTACGTTTAATTGGGCTGCTCCTAGACAGCTATGCACGTTGATAAATGCAGCTCTACCAGCCATATTTTATTTAAGCAAAAAGGGCTTTGCTTTGTTGTTCTGCTTGCAAATGAATACATCAGCACTGAGCTGCTCTGAGTGACTACCACTGCAATGCCAAGCATAAAAACAAAAATCCCAGATTTAAATTAATATCATTAGCTTAACTTGGAGGAGACCCGGACCTAGGTAATGCTGCATTTTTTAAAAAGATTCATTTATACTGTATGCTACCATAAACATATTAAATATCTCTTTATCCCAAGCATGTCTTGTGGGTAATACACTGGTTGGGATGTAGAAGAACGGGTCCCTGCTTGCAGCATAAAGGAACTAAGTGCCTAGAAAATTACTGTAAGTAATTGCTGCACAAACAGACTGTGCAACTCAACACGCACCGTGGCCTGAGGATGGACAACCAGCAGCTGAGGCTCTAAATGCCTCATTAAGACATCGGAAATGATGAGCACTACAGACCAAATCCCCAGCAGGTATAAAGCCCCCAGCAGCCGCCCAGGCGCTGAGCCCTGCGGGAAGCTGAGCTGTACCACGTCAGCCCAGCGCCCCTTGTTAACCCCTCCTGGAGAGGAGCATCGATTCTTCCTTAAAAAGGCCAATGCAAACTGCAAACGGGCTAAATGAGGTCTGTATTTCTTACCTAGAGAGATTGTCGATCTGCAACCCGTATTTAGTTTCTGTTTCTTTCTGGCCTATCTTAATGTTGAACTCCTTATCTACCAGCAGGACAAAGGCGATGGCCCCCGAGTCTGGCTTCATGTACAGCAGGAAAGAGTCCTTCACCACCAGCCACCTGTATGGGCACAGCAACCACGTAACTGGTATTTCACCCATGACAGTTTTCAAAACATGAGCCATTAAAAAAAAAAAAAAAAGCCAATAAAATGGAAAAGTGTTTCCTTCAAAACAAGTGCAAATCATTTATCAAGGAAAGTGTTCAACTAAATGATAAAATTTCTTTCCAGAGGTTAGTCCAGGGTATGGTTTTCTTGAGCAAAAAAGTGCTTATTCTATGAACTTTGGTAATGAGTTTGAATTCAATATAAGACTTTTAGGATATTTGCATGACCCCTATTTACAGAAGTCTTTAAAAATATCGGTTTCCTTGTCTTAACAAAATCAGTGAGAATCTCCCTGCCCACAAACCCTCAGCCAGATGCCCCAGCACTGGGCAAGGTGTAACAAAGTTTCCTCTAGACCAGATTTTTCTTCAGCTTGTATGTTATATGGGAGTTACTTGACATTTCTAACATTAATTATGATGCTAGGATCCCTGTCACTCCTATCAAAATATATGAACGAGGCATTTCAGAAAGCTTTTATTGCCAAGCAACAAGCACCCTGTTAGAGACACATGATGAGAGATGACCAGCAGGTTTTACATAAATAATGTAGCCTGAAGGCAACTCTGGGGAAAAACACATTTTTTTACTGTGAATGGCATTTCTAATTTTTTCTACCCCTGCAGCGTAGCTGGGGTAACCGGCCCCCTCTGTCCCACACAGGTCTCCACCACCAGACCTTCGCCTCATTCTTCCTTCCACACTCACAAACACACAAAGCAACAGAAAACACGGCAAAAATCTGTTCATTCTTGTATCTTTAGTAACAGCCTCAGCTCCTCATCTACTTCCAAATCCCACATTTTTTTCTTTTCTTTCAGAGCCCTGAAAGAGTTATACCAGCACCACCTTTCATTTGGTGCCAAAATACCTCCCCCTCCTTATTTGGCCCATAATTTCACTCCCAAACATCCTATAGGATGCATTTCCAAGTGATCCCCTTTCTGGTTTTCCCAGGCTCTGCATGCCCAAGAAGTCACAGCATCACCCCACTGTCCTCCTCTGCATCCCTTTCCACAGCTCCCATGGCCATAACACACCAAACCTATTGTAAGTGTAATGAATTTTGGGTACAAAAACCCAGCCTGGCCATGGTCTGCTCCATGTTCAGGGGGAGCTCTGCCCCCAGCTTGACATGTCCTGAAATTCTTCATTTAAACAACCCTCTCTGGGAAATATTACTGTTAGTTGCTTATTTATTGATGCATACGCTGTCAGTCCTGCCAGGCCATGGCAGGGATTTGGTGCCCCTCTCGTGATACTCTGCACAAAATCCACTCAAACCAGTTCTCCCATCCCCTTTTTAGGCTCTAAAGGAAAACTGAGATCCATCAAAGCTGAATGTGCTACTGTACCCACAACATAGGGAAGAGTTCACTGAAGGGTATCAAGAGGAAAAACATTTCTTTTTTCCATAAAACAGAAAAAAAAATTAGAAACAATTTAATGACTTGATCTGAAAGAATGTCACATCATCTCCTTGTGCATGCATTATAGAGATCTTCTGTAAAATTACATTTAAAATGTTGGAAAGACTATGAAGACATAGGACATTTTCTTCACATCAATGCAGAAATATTTCATTGGAAAGCAGAATTTTGTAAGATAAACTAACAAGAGCCCATAACGCTCAGGGAAGCTCTTACAGACCAAGAAATTGTTGCTCTAAGGCAGGTATGTGCTATTTGGATTTTCAAAAGGCAAGATCTGCCTGCTCCAGGAAAGACCTCTTGCGTTTTCAGATGTGAGGTGGTAACACACACACTGCTCCATAGCACACACCTCCCTGCACTCCAGCCCCAGGGAAACACTGAGATCCAACACGAAGATAAAGGCATGGGGACAGTAATTTACATCTGCCTGCAGCAGGAAGGGACACGGGAACAGGGTGTCCTGTGAAAACTCCCATGAAAACACCAACATTCAAGCACCTGCAGTAATAAGGAAGAGGTGATGTATTTAATTCCAAGGTTAATTGCACCAAACAGAGCTCCATACTGCTGCAGGTCATGTCTGATTTAACCCAGCTCCTAAGCAGTCCAGATAGTGTTTCAATTATTTTATTTTCTTTTTGTAAACTGAGGAAAGGAAGCTCAGAAAGCCAGGCTGAAATCTGGCCAGGGCAGTGTCACCAGCCACATCCCCTCCTGAAGACACTGAGACCCTGGGTGCTCCCACAGCAGGGAAAGCTGGGCACAGACTGGTGGATTATTGCCATTTCTGCCAGCCTGGAGCTGTAGGAAATCTCAGTTTTCCTCCGGAGCAACATATCCCTTCTAAGAACTCCAAAGCTGAAGAAAAAAACCCCACCATGCTCCACACAGGAAAGTGAGAGGGGAATAGCCTACACACCTTTTTGACTTGAAAAATCTGTGGCTTTTGCAAAAAAGCAAGAATCTCCCACACAGATTTTTTGGAAAAGAAAAAAAAATATGCAAATGAGGATTTTTCTGTGTGTGTGTGCCCGAGAAGCACATAGCATCACCATCCCAGCAGTACCTTTTGGACCATCGGTAGCACATCCTTCCTTGGCCGCAGCAATTCAGGCCAGGTATGCGGTGGCCCCCCGAGCGCTTCATGATGAACCCTTCTCTGCAAGGACAGAAACACAGTCAGGATGGGTGGCACAGCTCGCCTGGAGGTGCAGGGGGGCTCTCAGGTGGAGGATGCCTGCTGAACCCCACATCTCCTGTGCCAAGGGAATGGCTCCTGCCGCCTCCTGCCATCCCCAAGCAGCCTCTGCACCACGCCCTGAAATCTAGAAAGAGGGCAAAAATAACCGCCCAGAGGGAAATAAGGCAGATTTAAGAAATGCAGGGCCCTGGTTTATAGCACAAGCAGAACGAGCAGGTCTACAGGCTGCAGAGAGGGAAGGGGAGAAACCCTGCAAGCCAGCCTGTGAGCTGCAGCCCACGTCTTGCAAAGCAGCCCGTTCTCAAAACTATTTCCCAAAGCTGTAGCAATTCTGTCTGAATCTGAATAATTTTTTTCTACCTGGATGGCAAAATATTCCCTGGTCAGTTATTGGTGAGAAAGGAAAGCTATTAATTTGAACAATATTTATTTATAAAGCCATGCTCTTGGTGAATCATAAAAGACACAGCTCACAACTCACATGCCCTTTGGCCCCAGCTCGTGGATGAATGACAGCTGGCTTACTCCAATGAACTCCATCTGGGGAAAGAGAAAAAGATTCCCCCCTCTTTCATACTCTGAAATCCAGAAAATACTTTGCTTCAAAGTGACTTGTCACAGACAGCACCTACAGCAGATCCTAAGCAGAAGTTACCCACCATCAGTTAAGCATCTTCAAGAAGACCAAGAAAAGTAGTTTGGGGGCGTTTTTTGTTTGCTTGTTTATTTTAAATTTGCTTTGGAGAACACATTTCAGGCAGCCAGCACAATCAGGATTAAGTGTATCATATAAGGCCCACTAGTATCCTCCCTCCTGGATCACTGGCTGAAACGAGGACTCAAGTTTGACACTGTCTGGGGGTCTGTATGAGCTTGGCTGGCTGCCTGAATCCTCTCCTTCCTCCAGTGACCCTCACAGAAAGGCTGGAAAGGGAATGAGCACATGTCCCAGGACTGGGAGCACCCTATTTCCTTTGCATCTCCTACTCCATGGACACACACTACGTGGGGGTTCAGCCTCTCAACCCACACGAGCATCCTCCACAACCATCACAGCAGGTCGCTCCCACTCAGCGTTGTACACATGCCACTGCCCTGCCTGGCCCCAGGAGCCAAAAACCCACCGGAAAGCCACAGCAAAGCAGGAGGAGAGCATGTTCAAGTACACTCTCCATGACTTCTGATGGTCTGCACAGAGCTCCACAGCCTGGGGAACCCATGTGCCATACCATCAGCTCTACCAGCAAACCCCAAATTCAAGCAACTTGTCTCCTTTTGCTTCAGCAGAGACTGCAGAGGAACGTAACGACAATCAAAGCTGGTGAAAAACCACAGAACGATTACATTCACCTCTAAAAATAGGACACCAGGCGATTTTGACAGAGCAGGTTTGTCTTGGCACAGCAGGACATTCCTGAGAGTCGGCTGGTTGTTAGCCCAGGGCCCCTTTAGCCGGGAGAAACGCCTGCCCTGGGCGTCCCGTGCAAGACAGGGCTTGGGCAGGAGCAGGCCTGTGAAGGAGCTGCCTTGCATGGCAGAGGCTCGTCTGCACCCAGGCACCTTTGATTTATTACGGCATAAACTCGTCCAAGTGCAGAAAGGTGCGCAGGGCAGGGCGACGGCAGGAGTTGCTCTGTCCTTTAGTCAGGCAGCAAGCCGGAGGGAACCCTCTAACCACATGCTTTGGCAACTAAGCCTGCTGGGACAGAAGCCCAGGACTCGACCCACGCTCCTGACCGCAGTCGGGACATGAGGCAGCCTTGGGGCCAGGTCCAGGCCATGCCCACACGTGCCCCACAGCAGCTCAGGTGCCAGCCCCCAGGCCAGGGCTCTCCTCCACCTGCTCTTTGGCAGACGAACCTCAGAGCCCTCCTTGTCAAAAATCTGATTTTGCATAGGAATTACCCATCAGTAAATCTGGGGCAAAAGTCTATCTAGCACTTACGGTGAGGCCAGTTTAGGGTCCCTTCCCGACACCATCATTTTTGCCCCACAGAAATGGCAGTAGGGAAGATCCTTCCTCCTCCTCCTGCTCTGCTGCTTATGGGACCTTCCCAAACTTCCCACATCAGTAAGGCCACACAGAAGAACAAAGACCTGTTGTTCTCCTCCGAATAGCTCAAGGACATAAAGTAACCTCTATTCAGTAGAGGCAAATTTAATGCCCTCATTTTGGGGTGATTTCAGCCTGTGTTCAGAAAGTTACTCCATGCTTTTACTAACAATCTTGCTCTCACCGCTCTCACTATATGTTCTGAAAAAGCACCAGGTGTGACCTACGAACATTTCAGCTGTTTCTGCAGTGACCTCTGAGCGGGATGGGGAGCATCTGACCCCCCAGCGTACCCTACAGGTTCTTATCAGAAGTCCCAAGCGAGCGCTCAGGCCGCTTCTTTGCCCTGGATCCCATTTTCATTCCTTCAGCAAATGGCTAGCATTCCCCATCAGCCAAAGCAGAAACCCAGACATCTCTTTCTCAGTGGGCACAAAAAAATAAAAACCCAAACCAAAAAAACCCCAGCACATGAAATGTCAGACCCTTTGAAAACACTGGCTGCAACCAGAAAGCTGGCAGCGATTTGAGGAGCACTGCCTGCTCAGAAATAAATGCTCTCAAAGCAGGAAAAAAAAAAAAACAAACCAAAACAGGAGGGAAAACTACTTGCAGAAATAGATCGACTACTGCATAAAATAAAAAAATTCAAAGAAAGACTGTCTGGCAGCGGAGGAACCTGCTCTTCAGCCAAGGAGTCTTTGAAATGGCAATGACAGTGACAGGAGCCCATCCAACGTGTTGATCAAGCAGCACCAATTAGAAGTGTTGGTTTGTAAAAAAAACAACCCATAAATAAATTCCACCAATTAAAAGGAAAACTTCTCACTGCAGTGGAAAACATCTGATCAAATGATTTATATTATTATTATTATTATTATTATTATTGCTGCATTAGCTATTTTTACTGTTACAGTGCCTTTCATCCGAGGTGTCTGTCATTCACAGAAAAACGGAGAGGGAAGCACCGAGCAGGGAGGCGCTTTCATCTCCTTCACAACTGAATTCCTGCGCTGCCCAGCTGCCTCCCCGGGGAGCTGGAATCCCGCTCTGGTTTCAGAGCCATCCGTGGCAGAATATTTTAAGTATGAGATATAGGTCTAGAGAATGCAGTTTCGATGACATTGTTGTAGCAATAGAAAAAAAAATAGGAAAAAAAAAAAAAACAAAACACACACCAGATGGGAGTGATCAGCTGCGGAAAGACAAGATCCGAAAGGTGAAGGACCAGCTGCAAGGTGCACGAGCCATGGTTAATCCAGCCCGTTCTGCCAGCAATGTCAAGCGTGCGTGATTTATGTAAGCAAAAGTTTCAGAGCACCCCCGTTCCAGAAGAATTCAGCAGCTCCACACTGTCTTCATTTTGACCTTCGTTTTTAGTTTAGTGCATTAAAAAAAACATTAAGTTGATTAGCAGCTGTGGCTAGCAATAAAATGAAATTCCGCCCCTCTTCAGAATAATATTATTCAGCAGAAGGTGCCAGCTATTTCTGACAAAAAAAAATTGGCTTATACTAACCCCCCCCCCCAAAAAAAAAAAAAAACATGCTAAAGTTCAAGTGCAATAACTAAAAATACCAAAGGGTTGGGTGGGGACTTTTGCAATGGCCTGCAGATCCAAGTGCCACATCAGAGGCAAAGAGCAGCCACCCTCTCATATCTGAGTTGGTTTTACATTGTACCGCCTGCACTTAGGATGAGGTTTTTACACTCACTAATCATGCAAGATGTTAGACACACGCGCTCTGGTTCAACTAAACCTTATTCTTCATTTTGCTTAGGCATCTTTCAACTATTTCAGCTCATACAAAAAAATGAGGCAGACATCCAATTCATAAAGCTTTTTATATGGAATACAGACAAGCCTATGGGCCCCGTTTCCTAATTTTTGGGGGCTATATTCCTCAAATTTCTATCTTGCAGAAAAAACATGTGGACAATTAACACACTGAGATTCCCACAACATTCATTTTAATGGTAATCTTCTTGAAGCACATCAGCCCAGGAGTACTGTAAAAAGGACTAGAAGACATCAGATTTAATGTCAAATAGCCAAAATGAAAAAAAATAAAATAATGAAAGGCTATGGGGTCTGATCACAAGATATAATGCATCTATCAAACTATCTGTGAACTCTACACAAAATAATACAATGAATGCTGAGAAATTAAGGGAAATGTGAGAAGTCTGTCAATTTGATCAGAGGTAGCCAGTCAAAGCAAGGGACACTTGGTACATCTCTAAATGATGATGTTTCAGTGTGTTCTATTTCCACAGCCTGCAGGAGTGTCACCGAGAAAAGCTAGAGGATGTACAACCTCCACCATGTCGTGTGGTTACCATGGACCTGGTCTTCAACCCACCAGGGACTTCAGGTCCCCAAAACTGCTACAAGCTCAACTTGCAGGCACGACTCCCCCAGGGCATGGCATGTCCTCGAGACAGTGTATAAAGTGATGATCCTCTCACCGACAGATAATAAATTATCCAGAAATGCAAAATAAAAGAAGTAAAAGAGCAAATTAATTAAATTGTGCAGGTCAGGTGTAAAAACATCTCCAAGGAGATGCAACTGACCCAAGCAGGCTCTTCACAAGGACCGAGGGTTACACATCAGGCAGGTCACAGCTTGCCGTTGCAACTCCAGGTCTGACTTTACAAAGGATTCAGGATTTAAAAGAACACCTTGGTACATGATTTAATGAGAGGAATACACAGGAGTCAAAATGTACCCCAAAATTAAGAGTTACAGCATTTGTCAGTGTTCCAGGCAAAAGATTTTTCAAACACAGGAAGAGCAAAGCCCTCATTTTGTTCTAAGGAACATGCCAGAAATCTTCACTTTAGTCTAAGAATGTTGGGGGTTGGTTGCTTTTTTTTTTTTTTTTTTTTTTAAAGGAAACATTTTTCTCCCTGTGCTTTCTTTGCCTGCAGGACCCGCAGCACTGCCACCATTAGCAGAAAAGTCCTTACTGAATGCTTCGCCGCAGCCAAATCCAGTGAGAGCCAACAATAAACTGAGAATTTATGTGCAAAGTGACATCTGGCTCCAGGGGCTAGGGACAGAAGGGTGATTCAATGCAGAAGGAGGGGAGCACCCCACAGCTGCCTGGGCAAGGCAGGACCACTCGTCTCCTTTCCCAGCCCCCACCATGGCAGCCCGCCTCGAGCCACAGCCTGGTCAAAAGATCACTTGCATTCTTACACGAGCAGAAATTCTCCCAAATATTTGGAAAAAAAAATAAAATAAAGGCAACACCTGCCTAAGAGTGACAAAATGGATCCACAATGTAAAATAACTCTCCCCCGCTTTGCATATGCTACTGATCAAAATTGCCAAGTTATCCCAAACTTGCCTTTAGAACAAAAGATGACTATTTTCCACGTGCAGACTAACAACAGCTTGTGACTGTGTTGGACTTAAACTCCACAGCCTGCCCCCAAAAGAAGCACTCTAAGGAACACAGTTCCCTCCGCCTGAATCTGAAGATTTTTCACAACCCAAAGCACGATGGCCAACATGGATGAGCACTTCGCCCCATATAGCAAGTGGTGCTCAACACACTGAGCTCTGCAATCAGAGCACACACAGTTTTCAAGCACGACATCCAGCCACAAACTGCCCAACACCTCTACACAACCAAAATATTGCAAAAGGGCAGAACACCTACCACACAACAACAAAAGTTGAAGAGAAGAATTGGCTGTGGCGGATACCTTAAGTTCAGTCAACATTTCTGGCCTGTTTGAAAACCAAGTGTTCCCAGCTATCACCCCTCACTCAGAAACGTCACTAAGCTCTGCAGTGACTCGATGCACACATCAGGTCTTGCTGATAATACAAAAGAGAGTAACACATTCCTTAGGCAGCCAAGAAAAGGGGAAGTAAATTACCATCCCAGGCTGACGTTACATCTGCAGCTGACAGGGAAGGGCTACAGAAGAAAACACTTGAGGGTGGCTTTCAAAGGAAATATTTTTGCTTAAAATAGGCCTGAAGTTGGATCTGACATCTCATTTCAAAGAGGCCATCGACTTGGGGAAATAAGCCAATTACTACCCCCCTTTTAGAAGCAATAGGAGGTGAATGGGTATCGCTCATACAAGCTCAGCGTCACTGATGTCCAGTGAAACTGCACAGAACAGGAACCTGAGACAAATCTGCACCCAGGACCACACACAAACCCCAGACTGAAGGAGCAATGACAAACATGGTTTGGACTCCAATCGTTTTAAGTATTTAAAAATTCGACTCATCTTAAACACTCTCCAGAATTAAACAGAAACCCGCTACATCACCCATGTACAATCAGCTTTCTGGACTGTACTACCCTGAGGAGGTTATCACTGCGTTATAAAGCAACCTCCAGGACGGATCTGTTCACTCTCTTCCTTTGGTTTCAGTCATATTACATCAGTGGTGGAGAAATCAGCTAAGCCAAAATGCTTGCAAAACGGATGTAAAATGTTTCTTATGTAAGCTGCATGTCTTCTTCCAATGCATTCAACATTTGTTGAATATTCTTTAGGCATTTAAGGAAACCAATTTCTACTTACTGTTCCGTGGTAGTTCCTATACATTGGCATTTTCAGGATCTTTGTCAAATAGTCTTCCAGCTGTTTCTACAATTAAAACATTGAAACTTTAGATAAGATGTAGGAATTTTAAAGAAAAAAAAACCCAAAAATCCAACTGTCTGGCATTAAGAAGTAATCAATCACAGCTTGTTTACTGTTCAGAGTCGTGTCTGTACCCTCCACCAGCAGATCTGCTCCTTGGCACTGTCACTTTAGAGATCAACTTTCTTGACTGAGCCCAAGTTTCAGAACAATTTTAAATACAAAACCAGCCCCTACTGTTTCTGACCCACACGGATTAGCCTTGTGAGAAACACAGCCTCAGACACAGACTGTTTAACCAATACATCAGATTCATGGGGTGAGGAGCACGGCGACCACACCGCTCTGTCTCAAAGCCATGGAGAGGTCAGTGGCCAAGCCACCGACTGCTGGAGAGCCTGTCCTCCCCAGGCAGGAGAGGACAAAAGAAACCATTACAGGAGAAATAATCTCTTCCCATCCTCACTGTAACTTGGCAAAGAAAAGATTAAGCTGTTTGGGCATGGGAAAATGGGCAGAGTACTACAGGACACAAAAAAAAAAAAACAGAGAAGAAAGAAATGTCATCAGGACCTTCTTCCTTCTCAGCATTAGCATCACAGCAGTGAGCTACCCAGCTGGGCAGTGGGGGTCCACATCCCCACGGTGAAAGATGTGGGAATGCCACAAGGAAATCAAGGGGAAAAAAAAAAAAGGATCTAGAAAACATTTCTCTTCCTCCTTTAAGCAACATTTCTCTCCTGAAACTCCCCACACAGCAGCAAAGCCATGCACAGCAGGGAGGGTTATCTGCACTGCACAGCCACGAGACACAACCTTTTGGGGTGTGAGGCTTCAGTGGCAGAAAGCCGAGGCAGGGAGTGAACAGCAGAAAGACAATGATAAGCACAGGGTGAACAAACATGGGTTTTTACAGACTCTTTTTTTTTTTTTTTTCCTCTCCAAACAGCAAAGCTGTGATGAAGAGGTAGGAAGACATCCACCCTCTTCATAGAAGGGCCCATCTGTTAACATCTGATGAAGTTACACACAACACGTGTACCTCGGCTAAAATTACCCACTCCAGCATCAAGAGCCTGACTGTCATCTCCTCTTTCAGAGCGAGACAGGACTGAGTTCTCTCAAGATTTTGATGGCCACAGGGCTGCCTCCATCATGCAACTTGACTCTGTGAACTGCCTCTTCTATCTTTAAATTGGAGCAGGTGGGAGGAGGGGAACCACCACTCTCAGCATTGTGGTTTTCCTCAACTGTAGAGGAAAACTTCACCCGTATCAACCCCGGGAGCAGCATCCTCCTCGTTGCACAGAGGAGAATCTGGCTTAAAGCTAGACTTGCCAATGCCTTTGTCAAGCAAAAGACTTTAATGGTAATAAAAAGAACTTTGACAGCGTGTCACTTTACAAGCAAACTCCCTGACACCTCTGCACCTCAGAAGCCCCCCACCGAGCATCCCTCCAGCCCCCCACCCCAAGCCAGGCGCTTACCCTCCGGCTGGAGAAGTGCTCTTCCCGCACCGTGCTCTCTGCCGTGTGCGGCAGACTCGGCATCTGCCTGGGTTCTCCCCTTTTGATGGATTGTCTTCTCACCGTGTGACTGGAAGGAAAACCAAACCCCGATGTCAAGTCAAAAGTGCTGTGAGTGTGTGCGTGCCTCGATACGTAACCCTTCCTTTGCAATGCTTTGATTTTTCCTATCCAAGCTCTTAAAAACCGAGATAGGTGGGCAGGAAAGCTAAAACAGGCAAGCGTGGATTCATTTAAGAAACCAGTGTGCTCCAACTGGCTCACAAACAAAAATACAACATAGAAATATCAGAGTTTGATTTTTGAGGGTCCCCTTTTGCCCTTATAAGGAAAGGTGGCCTAAACCCTATTTTTATGGCATTATGTTCCCCCATCTCTTAACCCCTCATAATTTCACCTTTCCTATAATATGGTCTCCCCACATTTCTCCACATCAGGAGGCTCTTGCTGACCTACACCACTTCTCCCCCTTATGCTCCCAGCCACTCTGAGTACCAAGGCCAGCCTGGGAAGGGCTGACCACCCGTGACAGGGACCTCTGTACCTCCCACATCCAGATCATGCTGGCAGAAAGCCACAGCACGCCAATAATTCCCATTAACATTAGCCCTTCCTCCAGTTCAAGGCAATTTCAGCTCAAAAGCTGATGACCTGGGACCCAACACGCTTTCTGTGTCAGCAGAGAGATGCTTGCACCACTTAAATAGAGCTGCTAAATATGTAGAGATTAAGTATTTTTATTATAGATGCTGAATATTTGTAGAGGCTAAATTCTTCCACCTTCTGTTCCTTACAGCAAAGTAAATGGGATCGATGAAACCAAACCGATAGGCTACTAAAAGAGAAAAGATGATCACATCTTCCCAAACCCCACCACATCCGTAGGACTGCACACTCACCTCCTGGTAGGGATAGGGATGCGCACGAAGGCTTTGTACCTCAGCAGCTCCCTGTGAAACTCCTGGAAGTGCTTGAACTTCCTTTTCACCTGCCAGGTGAACTCTCCATGGGTCAGCTCGATGGTGTAAACGTTGGGGCTTGGTACCTGCAGAGGAGAACCCCACCACAAGGGACGCAGCTTTGAAATAAGCCATTTCCGTGCAGCCGCTTATCTAAAAAGCCTTCATTCAATTTTACTTAAGGATTGTTCTGTCTCAATTTCTTGTTCTGCTTTATTGGGTTTTATAAACAGACAGGTAACCTTCTCTCAAGCGTTTTCTGAGACACATGCATTCCTGCTTCCTCAGTCCATCAACAAGCATGCACAAAATTAACCCACAAACAGCATTTTAATACAGTTCTATGGAAATTAAATGAAATTTCCGGAAGTTCTGACCTTCTTTGTGGAAGTAAAGCGTTCAACTTCCAACACACGCACTCGAACAGGACATCCCGTGAGGTACGTCTGCGTGCCCGGCTCTTTGAACCCATGGGTGTGATAAATGGCAGAGAAGGGAATGCACACTGGAAAGACCACAAACCCTGTTAGTTCAACAGCCTTGTAACGATGGGGATTTCACGTTGGCATGAAAGCCAGCAGACAGCTGCAATGCTATAACATGGGAACATTTACACAGCAGCATTAATTCCACTAAAATATATCAGGTTTTACTTAAGAGAGCTTAAAGACAAGCTTTCACAGAAGGGGCTTGACTTGAAGAACTCAAGTGCTAAGTAAGAGTAACGCCTCCTGGTCCTAAAACAGGGTCAGTGGCTGGTCTTGGTGGAACCACTGAGGTTGTACTCTCTCTGTCAACAGATTATCAGTTATTAAATCCAGGCAGGACATGGGGTGAGAACATACAGACACCAACTCACCGGTGCCCTTTGGGTCATTTAGCACCTCCGAGTCAACCTCCTCCCCCTCGAAGTGGAGCTCCCTGGTGTCCAGGCTCTCGATGATGTTACTCATGTCTGCAGCGATCTTCTTCAGTGTCGATGTAGCTGCATGGCTTTCGGCTTTCAGTGACATCTCAGGGACCTGCACACCTGAGCCAAGGGGGGCTGGGGAGGAAGAAGGAGCAGGACTGTCATCACCCCCTCTGCAACACCTTAGCACAGCAGGGCCAAGGGAAAACCCTGGCAGCATGTGGTCCCATAGTCCCTCCAGCCCCTGACCCAAATTCATCCCAACTCTCCCCATCCTACATGGCCAATACAAAATTCCCAGGCCTGCAGCTACAGAAAACCACTGCCCAAAGCAGGTGGAGCAGTAAAAATACCACAGGTAGCTACAAGAAAAAATTCCCCCTAATGGCAGCGACCACAGGACTCATGCATTTCAGCTGTACTTTAAAATGGAAAATACATAATATTTCACTTTCCAGCTACAAAAACCTGCGGGGGATTGGTTGTGGCTTACAAGTACCTTCACATATTGATTTCAAAGGGAAAGCAAAGAAGCTTCTGCATCAACCTGCCTGATCATCTCCGCTAGCTCTGTAACAATGACAATGCACCAGAAAAAGCACAAATCGTATTATCATCTGACCAAATCCTAAACTTAATTCACACAACACTGTGTTACCCAGTTAGGCTGCACAGAGAAAAAGCTCACTCAGAAAATCAGTATGCATTTTTGTTGTGTTCTTCCTTTGACTGAACTAGTGATATAAACACTATTAAGTTTTCCTTTATTTCTATGCACCCTACAGTTTCCCACAGTATCTGTGTGTCTTGTGCTCTCCCACAGCTCCATCACCTCACCAGGCTCCAAAGTCACAGATGTCCAGGGAGCAGAGCAGGGTCAGGGGTACCACAGAAAGCCTAGGGGCAACACAGGTGGATGCTACAACTCATCCTCACCCCTCCAACAGCCCCCCAGAGAGCTTGCACCCCTTATACAGCCCAGGTGACCGCAGGGGACCAGTCCACTGCCCTTTTGTGATGGGGACAGTGGGCAGCAGGAAGGCTGTTGCCTGCTCAGGGCAGTCAGGCACGGGCACTTGGAAATATTTGGGGACAGACAACTACAACATTTCCCACTTTTATTCCCACTCATGAGGCCACAAGCCTGAGTCAGGACAAAAATGTGGAAAGGAGAAGAAAAAAAATTAGGAAAAAAAGAAAAATCAAGATGTGAGGCATGTTCACTAAGACAGGCACAAGCTTTCAGTGCCTGGTGAGTATTTGCAAAGCTGCTTCTTCCTCCAGGGTCTGCAACTTGCCATAGGGCTGCAGACCTGGCAGCCAAGCTACAGCTCCTGGGCCTCTCCATGACAAAAAGTCCCTTCAGTCTTTGTTCTGCTCCACAACAAATGTCACAGCTTGACAGCTTCACTGAAAAAATACGGACAGGAAAAACTGGCAACATTTTACAGAAGCCAGTACAAGGATGCCCATTTATACTCATGGAAGCTCTTACACTGTGTGAAAGGATGACTTTTTTTAAAAAAAAGAAGAAAAAAGAAAAAAGTGCAGCATTTCTGATGTTAAATTCTGCAAAGAACACTGCAATTATTCTTGAGTGAGCTCTGTAGAAAGAGCTGGGTATGCTGTAATTTGGAAATAATTTAACATTTTAATACTTCATGTGTTCAGCTGCTTTTGAAAGAAAAGTCTTTATTATCATTTCCTCTTGAAATAAGTACATAATTTTGTTACTACATAAGGTAGATATCATGTAAGCCCAAAAGCATGTTAAAATCAGCTGCTTTCAGGAAAAAAAAAAAGAAACATAAATCCGTTTGCACACAGACTTGAATCAAGAAAAACTGGGTCAATCTCTTCTACCAAAGCAAATGGAGAATCAACAGCTTCATCTTGGGAATGAGGGCTCCGAGGGCCCTGGGGGCTCCGTCACCTTCCACCAGTGGCTGGGAACGCCACCACAGCACTTCAGGCTTTAGGACCAGACTGGGGCTCCCTGGGCTGACATATCCCTTCAAGAGATCTCCCTGAATAACATAACACAAACCCACACATGTATAGCACCAGGTACCTCATGTCCCTTCTGTCCAGGGAGGGCAAAAAAAAGAATTTGCCTTTGTCCTCGCAGATGGAGATACAGTGAGAAGTGGGACGATCAAGGCAAATGATAGGGATTATTATTATTATTATCATTATTATTATTATTACCCACCACCCTACCCAGCTGGCACAGCCTCCCTGCAGCCACAATTCATCATTAGCACTGCCCCACGCCTCCCTCACTGCGACTTGAAGGGCAGACTCTTCTCACCATCAGAAACTTTACACTTTACCTATTACTAATATGCGACAGGGGACTTTAATTACTCAGAGAGCACGAGGTACATTTTTGCTGTCTTCTAGCAGCGAAGTCATATCATCAGATACAGACTGGCTTCGGATGTTTGATTTTTCTCCCTAGAAAGCAGGCAGAGATAAACAGCATTCCCTGCAGAGAGGCCACACTATCTGGCTTTCCCAAATAACCCTGGGGGTGGTGGGGAGAGCCCAGAGCTGCCCCACACCAGGCGACAGCACTTCCCTGCTCTGCACTGACGCGTACAATAAAATTCTCTTGTATTCCCCCACTCAGCACTCCATACAAAGAATATTTTTGGCCATCTGTAGCTGGAAGTAAAGCAGCATCTTCCTCTGTATTTCTTCTGTCTGTATTCACATTGGGAAACAAAATGCAGGGTTTTGTTGGTTTTTGGTTGGGTTTGTTTTTTTTTCAGTCTGAAGAGATGCTCTTGTTTCATGGAAACTTAACGCACTTTCCAAAATAAGAGGTTTGCACGGTCAAAGAGAACACAAGCCCAAACACACTTTGTACGTGCCGTGCCAGCAATTACACTTGAAGGAAACCAGCAGATAAACACCACATCAACAAGGCTGGAGGAAGAGCACGTGGACAGGAGCCAACACAGAAAGGATGTGCATCCTCCCTCCTCCTCCTCCCCGCTGTGCCAGGTACAGCTGGACTCCCTTGTCAGATTAATTGATGCAGTCGGTTAATGGATAAACAATTAACCAGTGTATGCAATGACTATTTGCTAAGGACTGCAGCAGGGCTGCATAACTCAGGATTCTTCATTTTTTTTAAAAAGCTAAAGCTGTTTTCACAGCTGGCACAGAGATGTTCTGGGATAAAGCAGACTCCAAACTCAGCTGGACCCAAGTCAGTCCCAGCAGCAAGATTCTCCCCATCGAGACTAGAGCCAGATTATCAACTCGAGAGGTAAAATGTGACTTGTCTATGGCTCTGCCATAAAGCCCACAAACCTGGGCAGCAGCAGAGCCCGAGGGCACAGGGCAAACCCAGCCCCAGGCAGGGAGGGCAGTACAGGGGTCACTAGGAAAGACGGGATGTCTCACTTCCCTCTGACAGCTTCTGAAAATTGCTTTATAGAGCTCTGCTAGGTAACAGCTATTTCACCTCCTGGCCAGTGGTTCCACGCAGACAGCATCTGCATTCCCACAGGCAAGCCAAGTTAGCGCCTGGGTTGATCTGCAACAGGCTGGGCGCAAACACGTGCCAAGCACAGTTATCCGCGATTCAGCAGCCAAACAGAAGGGCTGAATCAAGGAGGCCCTGTCTATCCAGTGCCACGCATGGCTTGCACTAATGACGGACTACTGAGCGGGCTTATAAAACTAAAACGTACCGATACTGTCAGCTTTGGAGGCTGCAATTACATGAAGGACAGCGAGAGAACTCAAATGATACTGGCAAATTGCAAGAGTGGAAATCCGATTAAATTCGTTAGAAAGAAGAGCTAAGTTTGAGTATCTGACAGTTGCCATTCAGGATAGCAATTAGGCAGCAGTTCAAAAAAAAAAAAAAAAAAAAAAAAAGTTCAGCGAGTCAAGAACCAGCAACCTGAACAAAGGCAAAAACTGCCAAAATGCACAAACAGGGTTACTGCCTGCGAGCCAAGAAGGCAGGCAGGGTGTGGAAGATGGCAAGAGTCAGATCTAAAGCACTTGGCTTGTGAGAGGATGGTGTCAGGACTGAGGGGAAAAAAGAGACTTAGAGGAAACACCTTGGAGTCTGCAAGCCTGTAGAAGACTCCTGTGAGCAGGATGGAAAAGAGGTAATTGCTCTGAAATGCTGGTTTAAAGCAAAGACTAGGGAGAAAAATCCCATCTGATGGCACGGGATCATCCAGGAGGGGTTTGCAGAGTCCCCAGGGCTGGAGGTCTGTAAGGGCAGGGGAGAAGCAACAGCCACCCCAGCTCCCCCGAGAGACCCCCCCACAGCACACACGCACTCCAACCTGCTGCCCGGACAGCCGGGGGCTGGCATGGCCACCTGCAGATTAATAGAGGAAAGGTGCTGCTCCAGCTTTATCCAGCTCAAAGTCTGCCCGGGGAAAGCAGCAACAAGGAAAAAACACTGAATTAAAAAAAAAAAAATCAGCGGTAAAGGAAAACTTTGTAAAGAATGAACAAACAAGGACAAAAGGGAGATAGTAAAAAAAAATGAAAGAGAAAAAAACATGCTAAAACACCCACAAACACTGCTGACACTACCTTTGTCCAGCTCAGTTTTCAGATTAATTATTTCCTCTTCCAAGCTCAATTTAAAGCTCTCTGCCTCCCTTCACTGGGCTGTCCTCACAGCACACAGCCCCAGACCTCTTGAACCAGTAAAATACATACACTGGAAATAGGGACTGCACCAAAAATCAGGATTTCAACTACATACAGAAATCAAATTTAACTGTATTAATCCCCTTGTGAATGTACTGAAAACGCCTGGCTCAATCCTGCAAGGCTGATATCTATTTTTGTCATTTGCCAATTTGGTTACGTTTTAACCCCAAGTTATTACTCTGGGGCTCATATGACAATCTCAGCCTTTGCTAAAGAAATGGTGTTTTCTACTTGTTGCATAGGACAATAAAAGCACAGCTTTAAAGGCATGGAAAACGGAAGGCAGAAAAATGCATATTTTAGTAAATATTCATGAACAGCTCTGTGTTTTGAAGACATTCCTGATGTGAAAATATATGCAGCTGGTAATAGCACAGACCACCTAAAATTCGGTTGGCCTAAATTTATTCTCTTACACGTATCATGGCAGATCTGCCACA